CTTTGGGGCCTATACCCAGCGGGGTGGTGGGTCCTCTGGGAATTCTGGGCCAGCCCTGGAGTCTCTGAAGGCCGGCAAATGTGTGATCTCAAGCTTGGCTAGGCACCCAAATCCCCAGGGACAGGGGTGATGACTGCGTCCTGGTCGCCCTGCTTCTGAATGGAAGCCTCAGGACCCAGACTGTATTTGTAAAGTTCCCTGAGAGAGGAGGGCTGCTATAGATTAGACTGCAGAGCTGGGAGGCCTGCAGAAGGCAACCTCCTGGGCTCCTGCCACCTCCAGGCTGTTTCTCTGGGTTCCACGATCCTCCGTGGCTAACGGGGCCTTCCAATGCCTGTGTCTTTCTGTGGCACCTGGTGCCAGACAGGCGGTTGCTTTGGCCTTGCCCGCAGCCTCCAGTGGGTCTCCAAGGGGTCCCCTCCAGGACTGCCCTGCAGGGCAGAGCTTCAGGCAGGTGGGTGCATGCGGGAGTGGGGAGGAGGCGCCATGGTGACGGGTATTGTTTTTGCCCAAAGCTGTTCCAGGCATGAGAGCCACTTGGCGCGTGCACAGATTGTACCAGGAACAAGGGGGAGGAAGGAATGAAGGTGGCGGGGGAGGGGGAGTCTGCCCCTTTAAATCTGTTTTCTCGGATTTTATTTCCTTCTCTTTTCCCATCCTCCTCCCTCCACCAGCACAAGTGGAGCCATGAGGGCCCAGGAGCTGCAGCGGAGGTGCCTCTCAAATATTAATGAGGCTGTTCTCTGCCTCGGCTCCTTTCCTCCCCCTCCCTGGCTACAAGCAGGTCTTGTCCTTGGAACCCTCCTTTCCCCTCCGGGGGGTCACCAAAGTGCATCATACAGGGGGAGGGGCCGGGGGCAGACAGGAAGGGGAGGGCCTGCCGCAAGGGAAGGAAGATGTGGGGATGGGGGTTAAAGGGTCTCCCAGGTGCATACCAGCCACCAGCGTCTCCGCCTGCCTGGGATCACGCCAGGCCAGGAGAGGGCAGGGTGGCTGCCAGCCTGGGTGCCCTCCTTCCATGCGCTCTCCACTCTTGCTCCCCGGCTGGTCTGGGAGGCCACCCCAGGCCTGAACTAGGAGACCTGGGCCATGCCTCTCCCTGTCTCCTTGGCTTGCTCTCCCTGAGCCTGGAGGTGGAGAGAGACGGGGGATTATTATTTCAAGGAATCCCCGTATTATTTCAAGGAATGTCACGTTGCTAAGTGATGGGCCTCTGGATGACCGGCCCATGCTTGGTAGGCCTGTAGGGAGCAGGTGACGGACAGTCTGCTTCCAGGAGGGCCCAAGGTGGAGGGCACGTGCCCTGGTGGGCCCTCAGGCCTCCATCTCCTGCCCTCTCACCCTGAGTTCTGCTTCGAGGCCACGGCATCTGGATGGTCTGAGGCCCCAGGGGCTGCGTGTTCTCATCACTCGTGACTAGGGAGTGACTCTGGGACTGGAACTTCCTCCAGTACATGCCCCATCACCCCTGTGGGGACATATATCCACACAGACCCCAGAAACTGAAGGGGTACTCAGCCGGGGTGCAGTGGGGCTGTTTTCAGGATGGAGGATCTCCGTAAAGGTGGGTGGCTGAGCGCAGTGCAGGCTGAACCTGCTGGGGAGGCTTCTGGGGTGTCATCAGAGCGCCCCAGCAAGAGCGGCCATAACCCACCTCAAGTCACGTGGAAGGCAGGGCCGGGAGAACTACTGCAGAAACAGGAGCCTTCCTGAGCCTCGGTTTCCCCTCTGTAAGGCGGGGAGCGTTCTCCTGGCCCTTGTAGGGTGTTTCTGAGGGCTGGCATGCAGATGTGGGCTAGAAACTCAGTGTGTGATTGGGTCCTAAGGGGGCAGCCCAGGAGTGGAGGTGCTCCCACTTAGAAAGTGCCCAGCCTTCTGGAGGGTGCTGGGCTGCCCAAGGCCTGAAGGAAGTCCATGGGGGACTAAGTTGGAGGTGCTGGGAGAGCCCCCAAAGCCCAGTTAGGGGTGGCCAGGGAGGGACAACACAGGGGAAAGAGGGCCCCTGGGTTTCTGGCCAGGTGGGTTTGAGTCACTGGGTGGGGAGCAGGCACTGTGTGTGAACCTAGCAGGGAGGTGAGGGTGTCTGAGCCCTGCTGGAGGGCAGAGTCCTGAAGGTGGCTGAGTAATGGGCCTGGACTTGGCCATCCCCTCCAGCAGCGCCCAGAGGCATCCGCCAGGGACCCCCTTGGCTGTCTCCCCCAGCGAGGCCGGACAGTCTGTGTGGGGATGGCGCAAATGCTGGAAGGTGCGAGGTTCTTTTAAGCCAATTAAGGTCAGAAAGATGAAAGAGCACAGAAATGGTATGTGCCCTGCCCTTTTGGTGTCTACAGGCCGTTCTCGGCAGCCAGCCCAGGCCGGAAACTGTCAGGCCTGCAGAACTGATAGGCGTAGTGACTTCGGTTCTTGGCCATTTCAGTGATGGCTGCTGTCTTTAGTGGGAATCAGGGAGGCCATTGCCCAGGCTTACACAGAACCCAGGGAAAGCAGAGTATATGCCATATGGTCTCTACAGCAGCTGACAGTCAGTCTATATGGGCCTTACTTTAACTGATGGCTCCTGTGTCCCTTGTAGCCTATCGCATTCATGAAGACGATGAGAATTAGCAAAGCACCCCCACCCAACCCTGTACTCCAGGATGGGGACTCCACCTCCCAGGGCTCCAGGCTCCTCTTTGTGGGCCAGGCCCCCATTCCCTCCTTCCTTGAGGCCCCCGGCCCCATACAGCCGCTCCATCACCACGTGTCTCAAAGAGCTCAGGACCCAGCTCGTGGGAGACAGGCTCACAGATCACTGCAACGCCAAGCAGAGTGAAACAGGAATGGGTCGTGGGATTATAGACTCAGGCGCAATCAATTTTGGCTAGGGAACTGGCAGAGACTCCTGGAGAATGTTCCACTTGAATTGTGACTAAGAGGATTCGTCAGAGGTCAGCAGGTGGAGCTCAGAACTGGCAGGGCTGTGCAGCTGCGGCAGGAGCGGAGCTGGGAGGTGCGCAGAGGGAATCTGGCACCTGAACCAGGGAAAGTGGTGACTCACAGTAGGGTCGTGACCACTGGCCAGACTGGAGGGAGACCTACCAGGTTGTGCACAGGACACAGAGCTTGCTTGGGGGGGATCCTGAGGTGGGGAGGGCCAGCAGGGCCAGCCGAGAAGAAGGAACTTGACCCCGGGATTGTGGCAGAGGGGAGGACTCCTCCTTGCCCACTGCCCACCCCATGAGTCACTGTGGGTCCACTCAGCCACAGCCATGGCCGTACTAGTCAGGACGACCTGGTGTGGTTCTGTCTGGGCCACCCCTGTGGGGTCAGGGGCAGGGACCAGGAGGGGAGGACAGACCTGGCCTTGAGCACATACCAGGGTGATCATGTTACCCAAGAGCCCGCCAGACAAGCCATTCACTCTGTCACTCCCTGTGGGCACAGAGCTTGAACCTGACAGTTGCACCAAGTAGCTGCATAGTGGGAATGTTGAGGCATGAGGCAACTGGAGCCCAGGGAAGCAAAGGTCCTGGGGCAGGGAGGGGAGGCGGTCTCAAGACGATGAGCAGTCGGAAGCACTGCCCTCCCTATGCACGCAGCTGTCCTCTGGCTCTGCCGCTTCCCCAAGCCAGCCTGTTTCTCACATTCACAAAAGCAGCTACAATTCGTCTACACAGCGCCCCCAGAAGGAGTCCTCACTGCCTGGGACAGCTCTGCTTGCTGTCCCAGCCCCCTCTCCCCAGCTGTCACACCTTCCAGTCTTCTCTCCCCATGCCTGTCCCCAGCTGCAACCTCACAGTTCTTGGCCCCAAGGCCTGCTGCTTTCTTTGTCCCAGCTGGAGAGGGACGGGGTTAGTTGAGACTTATCGAGTGCCAGGCATGTAGTAGCTGCATATCTCCCAAAAGTGAAGGCTGCTTCGTGTGGAAAATGTTGCGAGATTAAACGTGGGCCCTCATTTCCAGGGGATCCTTCTGAGCCAGGAGCTTCCCCAGAGACGAGGGGTCAGGGCCCCACTGAGCTGCCATTTCAGTTCCATGAGGATGTGGCGGGCTTAGCACGTGGCCCTGGGAGATGCTTCCACTTCTGCTCGGGCCACGAAGGAGTGGAGAGAGACAAGCTGCGGAGGGCACAGCAGGCTCGGTGGTGGGGGAGGGGGACCCGCCAAATACTGTGATGGCTGCAGGAGGAGCAGCCTGGGTGCTAGCGGGTCATTGGATAAGGTGAGGGGGACAGGGAGAGGGAATGACAACTTTGCGATACTCGGCTGCCGCCTGGCTGTTTTCACTGTGGGGAGACCTTAGCTCCTTACCTTGTCATGTGGAGGGAAAAAGGGCATGGAGGGGAGTGGGTGGCACTATGCTGTGGGCTGGGTCATTGGCAGACTCGCCAGCGACCTGTGGCTGCTTCGGCTTTCTTTTCCTCCCCTCCTCAGCCACTCCCTTTATCCCTCCCTCTTCTCCCTCCCTCCATCCCCCTTTCCCTCCCTCTCTTTGCCCCTCCCTCTTGTCCCTCTCTCCCCTCCCCTCTCTCCCACCCTCCCTCCAGGCCTCCTCCTTTCCTCGCCCTGGGCCCCCCAGGCACCCTCAGGGCCACAGAAACTGAGCCACTAAACCTGCACCAGAAGACCACCAGGGACTCATAGCATTACAGCCGCAGCTCACGTGTCTTCACCAGACGAGAGCAGGGAATGAGCCGGGCTGGACAAGCCCAGGACTCGTGGTGGGGTATGGGCAAGACCAGCCGCTGACCAGTCCCAGCATGCTGTCCTCACTCCAGCCTGTGTTCCCAGTGGATTCGGAGGCAGTGAGGGCCTCTGCCTCCCAGCTAGCTAGTGTTGGCCAAGGCAGGGTCCCGACAGCACGCACCAACACTTCCCCTTCCCCACCTGGCCAAGCCCAGCCTGGGAGGGGAATTTTGCACTTCGTTGATCATGGCACAGACCGAGCGCAGATTTGCAGACACTATTTTAGAAGATGGGACCTCAGTTTTGTCTCAATTACGCCTTACTCCTTCTCCCCAGGTGTCCACGCTTAGCAGCTTTCCCACCACTGCCAAACCTTGCCCAGGCACTGGGACCGTGGGTGGCCGCCTGGCCCTAGCTGCGGCTGAGCCGAGCTTGCACCTGTGAGGAGGCCTGACAGGCAGCATGGGTGACATGGCCAATAGTTCCATCGAGTTCCACCCCAAGCCCCAGCAGCAGCGGGAGGCCCCCCACGCTGGAGGCTTTGGGTGCACGCTGGCAGAGCTGCGCACCCTCATGGAGCTGAGAGGGGCCGAGGCACTGCAGAAGATCGAGGAGACCTACGGGGACGTCAGCGGGCTCTGCCGGAGGCTGAAGACCTCGCCCACAGTGGGTAAGTGTGCCACCCAGCCCTCCCCCCAGCCTTCAGAGAGGCATCCTGCAAGTGTCCTTACCCCCAAGGCTGGCCAGGGTCAAAGGCCACCTGTGCCCCTCCTCAGCCATTTTCCTTGAGCGGGAGAGGTCCCAGGCAACCTGGGTCTTTAGGGGGTGTGACCTGACCCCTCTTCCCCACACCTTCGAAATCAGCAGTTCTCCACTCTATAGAGCCAGGTAGAGGAGGCGGAGATAGGAACCTCATGGGACGCACACACGGGCTCCTAACGGAAACCCCTCTGAGCAGCGGGCTAGGGCAGGAGGAAGAAGGCAGCCCTGACTGCACAGTCGGGGGTTCCTGGTATGCTCAACCCTGTGTTCAGTTAAGGGGGATCAGAACAGGAAGAAGCGGGCAGGGTGCAAGCCTTTGGCGCTTGGGGTGGCTGGGGCCTCTCCTGGGAAGAGAGAGGATGGCCTGGAGATGGCACAAGGCCATTTGGGTCCGGCAGAAAGGGCTGGCTGAAGGAGGCCCAGGAGTGTTGATCAGAGGTACAAGCGTAGGAGGGCTTCAGTCTCACTGCTGAGGGGGCTCTAGAAAGCCCAGTGAGCACTGTCTAGAAGGATCCGGGGTGGAGGTCTGGGGTGGAGGCCTGACAGTCCCTGTGGGAGGCGTTGCCCCACCCGGCCTTGTGCAGCCTGCCCACCTGGTTGCTGGGGTCTGCCATGAAGCGGGGACCCCCAGGGGCCAGACCCAGACCCAGATTCCAGGAGCCGCAGCATTCTCTGGCCTAGCTGTCCCATGCCTGGCAGGGCTGCTGGGACGATCCCAGCCTGGTGCTAGGTCTGTACCCCAGCCAGCGCAAGCGGATTTGATCCGCTACCTGTCAGGGCAGCGCCTGGGCCCACCTGTCTCCTCTGCTCCCAGCCTCGCGGCTCCCCAGCGCCTCTAGCCTCTCACTCTGCCCTCACCCCAACCCAGAGACCATTCTCCTGTGACTCTGGCCTCCTCGGCCCTTCTGTCTGCCGGTGGCATGCCGGCTGCAGGGAGGAGTGGGGATGGAGGAGGGGGGCTTCGGGCCATGTCAGGAACTCCAGGTCGGCCTGGGTCTCCCTAGCTTTGCCCTGGAGCTGATGCGCCCATCACACCCTGCCTCTGCTGCACACGCCCACACCGTGCAGCTGCTTGGGGCCGATGGCTCCGCTCCACTCCCGACTGTCTCTTGCCTTCCCTCCTCCTTGCCCAGCCCCCAGGAGGCTGGGTGGAGGGCCATTTAGCCACAAGGGCTCTGGCCTCTCCTAGATCAAAGGAAGCAGATGGGCCTCAGCTGGCTGCTCTTCCCCTGTCTGCCAGGCCTTGTTAAATATTTAAAATGTCAAGGCCCCTGGGAACCTGCCAGATTCTACCACGGAGCTCAGGAGCTCTCGCGTGCCTTTGGAGGCGGGGGCACAGAGTAGGGCAGGTGCACAGGTGGGTGTCTTAGCCTCTGATGGGCTTCCAAGCGCCTCGGTCCCCAAGGCCACAGGGAGCCAGCCAGGCCTGGACCTGCTGCCCGAAGAATGAGCAGCAGAGAACCGGCCCCTCCCTTCTTCAACCCTCAAGGTCCTCTGGTTCAAGCTGTCTGGATGCCAAGAGTGGGTGACTCGATCCCCACATCCCCCAGCCCAGCCATGTGCCTGGACCCTGTTACTGAGACGCGCCTGCCCCTCATTCCTCAGACACAAGGGCCTGAGCCATGGGGGCAGCTGGCTTCATTGCATCCCAGGCCCCATGCCAAGCCCCTGGCAAGGTGGGCAGACTAGGGGCTGGGCAGGAGGCAGGCACACCCCCTTGGGCAGGTGCTTTCTGGCGTGTGGCACATTGCGGGAAGGGGACTATCTTCTGGCGGTCCGCTCATCAATCCATTCCCCTCTGCCTTGGGAGCACTCCAAGAGGATTCCAGAACCATCCTGGAAACCGTGCTGCTGTTGTCAGGAAACGTGGGTCTCAGGCTGAACTGAGAGGTGGGTTTGCCCGGGAACCTGGCCTTGCCCGGCCTCCCTCTGGGCTCCACAGGACTAGCTGGAAGCCAGCACAAGATGCTCCTAATCCAATTCTGATGGCATCTGGCCTCTGTTCCAGGCAGGCCACCCATCTGTGTCCATGCCACCGGCCAGCCCCTGCCCCCACGCCCTGGACCTGGACTGCCTGCAGGCCTGCTGGTGGAGCATGTGCTCAGGGCCAGAGGGGCCGCAGCTGTGTTCCTCCTCCCCATCAGTGGATGCTGCGGTGGGGCAGTCATCAGGACCCCAAGCCCACAGGAAGGCTAAGACCAGGGCCAGGTCGAGGGCAGCTGCCATGTAGCCAAGGAGGGACAAGCCAGGCTACAGCTGCAAGGGCAGGTCGAGGCCAAGGGAGAGGCTGACCAGGGTGAGAGAGCTCTCAGGGACGAACTGGGCATGTGAGGCGGGGCAGGCAGGAGACAGACTCACATGGAGGCTCCAGGCTAAGGGCAGTGGAAACACCAGGGGTCTCGGGAGCCCTCTCCTTCCCCTCTCCTCCCCCTCCCCCTCCCCAGAGGTCCTGAGGTTAGCATGTGCTTGTTCTCAAGTCACTGGGGGGGTCTTGTACTCCCGAGTACTGACCCCACCTGGCTTAGCTCCTGTCATTCCGGGAGACAGTCCCAGTCCAGAGTGAGGCGCACAGCCCTCAGTTGGGTCCCTGGTCCCCAGCCCCTCCCCACCACCCAGGAGATAAGGTCCAGCGTCACCCCCAGGCTCCCAATTGGGGCAAGCTCGGGTCTCAGCAAGAGGTCTTCAGCTCCTGAAGAAACCTGAGCCAGGGGGAGAGAGGCAGGCACAGCTGTGGCTCTTCTAGGTGGGGAGGGCACCTGTGGCCAGTGCCTAGCCAGGTCGAATGAGCCGCGGCTGCTTGGGGGGTGGCTTCTGTTCCACCATGGCCGGGGCCTCCCCTGCCCTCCTCAGAAGCGCCACGGTTAGCCCCTGTTCTGCAGTCATCCAGGGGGTCTTGTGTGCCTTCCCAGACCAACTGTGAGTGCCCCACGGGCTGGGGCAGAGCTATCTGGCCACCTTGTCCCTGCAGCAGATGGCAGCATGAGGCCAGCTGGACAGGGCTGGGAGCGGCAAGCTGCTGTTTGTCCACTAGGTGTCAGTGTGGGTCTGGTCACCGCCCAGGACAGCCCTGGGCACTGGGTGAACGCAGCGCAGGAGGGCTTGGAATCAGCCAGGGCTGAGAATCCCGGGCCGAGGGCGGCCCCATGTGGGGAGACAGTGTCATCCCACACTCCTGCCCCAGGAGAAGGTGGCTGAGTGGGTGTCCATGCCTCGATGCCAGTCATACATGTAAGCCTCCTTCAGGCCAAGGAAGGCTGAGGAGCGAGTGTCTTCAAGGATGACAAGTGACAGAATTGGATAGGGACAGGTGGCTCTGATTGTGAGAGCAAGGACAATTCAGGGGCTTCTGAGTGGCTCTGGGTGTCATTCAAGTCACCATTTAGACAAGCACTTACATAGCCCAGCGGACTCAGAGGACACAGCGCGGGCCAGCATCCCTTGGCTGCGAGCCCCAGCTGAGGGCTTGAAGTTGGCCCTGGAACCGCATGAGAACCGAGGCAGCTGTGTCCTGACAGCCCTGTGCTCGCCGGGTCCTATCAGGCCATGTAGGCTCTATGCTGACCTGGACCGCAGGCCAGAGGACTGACTGATGGGCACCGGGCCCTCCCCACCTCCAGCCTCAGTGGCCTTGCCTGCACCCTGCAAGGAGCAGCTGATGAGCAGCCCAGGGGCAGTGTCCCGATCCCTTGGCACTTACCATGCTCATGCCCCCATCCTTCAGGTCCCACTCGCCCTCTTTGCAGGCTGTTCCTGCCCCCACAGATTGGGCTGTGCGACCTTGCCAGTCTTTGGGACTGGCTGGCCCCATCTTACAGAGCTGGGGAGGGGGGCTTTGGTGAGAAGCCTGAGCAGGAAATTCATAGGCTGGGAGCTGGAGAGGTGTTTCCAGACGGGGCATAGCCCTGGCCTAGTCTTTGGTGTCTGCTTGAAGCCAGGCTGGTGCCATCCCTGCCTCCCCTGATTGGTGACCCTCCCCATGTCTCCACTAAAGTCCCCTGGACACTCGCTCCCTCCCCAGGGGACAGTTGGCTGTTCTCCTCTGTCCTGTATCCTGGCAACCCTTGGCTGTACTTGGCCATACCCTGCTGGGTCCCCTCTATGCTCCCCTTGTTGGGTCCTGTCCCCTGCCTTCCAGTGACCCCTCTGTGGTAGTGTGAAGGTGGCCAGGACAGCACAGGGACCTGGGACCTGCTGGAGTCTGGGAGCCTCCTGGCCTGTTTTGTCATCTGCATGTCAGGAGAAGGGTGGGTAGCATCCCTTCCTCATGCTAGGGACTCCCTGTGACAGCAGCCAGAGAGCTGCATGCTCGCCTCCCCAGTGGTCTGCAGAAAGGCTCGTGCCACAGGCCTGTGCAGTTCTTGCCTTCTGAGAGCTTACTGTCTAGAGGGAGAGCCAGGCGCTGGCCAGGCGGCCCCAAAGGGCTGCTCCCACTCCAGGAGCAGTCAGGCAGGGCCACATAGGAGGCCTGGGACACACAGGCCCTGCTGGTCCCATCCCATCCTCTCCTCTGTGCTTCCCGGGCACTGTGCAGGCCTGGCGGACAACACCAATGACCTGGAGAAGCGCAGGCAGATCTACGGGCAGAACTTCATCCCGCCCAAGCAGCCCAAGACTTTCCTGCAGCTGGTATGGGAGGCCCTGCAGGACGTCACCCTCATCATCCTGGAGGTGGCTGCCATCGTCTCCCTGGGCCTCTCATTCTACGCACCGCCAGGAGAGGAGAGTGAAGGTGAGGGCCAGGGCCTGCACTGGAAGCAGGGACAGGAATGGGACTTGAGGTGAGGGGAGGGTCACAGGATGTCGAGACCCCAGTGACAGGGCTCTCTGTGACATCTCCTCCACCGCTTCTCTTCTGTCCTCGGCACAGCTTGCGGGAATGTGTCAGGAGGCACAGAAGATGAGGGCGAGGCAGAGGCTGGCTGGATCGAGGGGGCTGCCATCCTGCTGTCCGTCATCTGTGTGGTGCTGGTGACGGCCTTCAATGACTGGAGCAAGGAGAAGCAGTTCCGAGGCCTGCAGAGCCGGATTGAGCAGGAGCAGAAGTTCACGGTCATCCGGAATGGGCAGCTCCTCCAGGTCCCCGTGGCTGCGCTGGTGGTGGGGGACATTGCCCAGGTCAAGTACGGTGAGTACCCCGGTCTTCACCCACCCTGTCAAGGAAGCTCAGCTCTCATTTCCGGGGAGGGTGGACCAGAGGAGAGCCCCAGCACAGGTTCTCCCTGTGAAGTGGCTGTGGTAACCTGCAGGAAGCCGGAGGTGGGGGAGGTGGGGGGGCACAGGACGGCAAAACAGGAGAGTTTCAGACGCAGCAGGACCCCCAAGAAGCAACTGTTCCCACAGCCTCCACCGAGGGCTTCCCCCATACAAAGGGTGCAAATGACCTTGTTCCCTAGGAGTAGGACGACACGGCTAGGTGTGGGTGTTTCCCCCCCAGAAGGAGAGGGACTCCCAAGTCCCTCTTCTGGGTGACCCACGGCACCTGATAGGGCCTCCCCTGGTGCAGCCGGGAGGAGGCAGTGGGGAGAAGGCGTCTGCTTCCCGTTGCTTTAGGAGACCTGCTGCCAGCCGATGGCGTGCTCATCCAGGCCAACGACCTCAAGATCGACGAGAGCTCCCTGACAGGCGAGTCTGACCACGTGCGCAAGTCAGCTGACAAAGACCCCATGCTGCTCTCAGGTGAGGGCCACCCTCCCAGCCAACCTGGCACCAAGGGGCATTGGCAGCCATGTGGCCCAGCATCCTGTCCAAGCCCTCTGCTGGGCTTGGCCTCCACCAGGGAGAATATGCAGTGGGGGTAGTGTTCCCTTTCCAGAAGGTTCCAACGTAGCCCAGTGTTTATCCCAGTTGGAAACGTACTATGAAACTGGACAGGAAGGCTGGAGGCCCTGTGCGGGAGGAGGCTTCAGCCTAGGTTTAAGACGGACACAACCTCTAGAGGCCCAGACGCCGCATCCCTGCTTCCGGGATACCCTGGCAATCAAGCTGTAGCACTGAATATGGACCCCACCGGGTGATGCAAATTCCTGTCTCAGTCTCTGTGTTGCTGTGCCAGGCACTCATGTCATGGAAGGTTCTGGAAGAATGGTGGTGACTGCTGTTGGCGTGAACTCCCAGACAGGCATCATCTTCACACTGCTTGGAGCTGGCGGAGAGGAAGAAGAGAAGAAGGATAAGAAAGGTAGCACTGGTGGGGGCCTCCTTCCACGCAGCCCATTTTCCCCTTGTGGGCCCGTGCAATTAGGAACTCAGGGAGAGCCAAGTGGGTGGGAGGCCAGGTCCTCTCTTATGATTCTCCTTAGGGACTCCTCTTCTGAGGATTTTCCCCCGGAGAGCTGGCAGGCCAAGAGCCCCTCCAGTGCTATGGATGGGAGCTTCCCTGAAACCACCATCCCCAAAGGCTTCGGGACCCCATGCCTGCCTGGGCATGAATGGGGTCAGAGGGACAGGGGCTGCGAGGACCCTCGTGCCCACCCTCAGGGCCCATGCCCAGTAAGGTACCACAGATCCCAGGCCTGCATGGGAGGCAGTCAGGGAGGTGGGGGTCAGAGGTCAGAGGAGACTGGGACAGGTAAGGGCAGGGCCACCCGCCTGTGGGTGGTGCCACTGCCCTGAGGCTTACAAATCTATGCAAGCCTGCGCCAGAAGGGCCCATTACTTGCCCTGTGGCTGGAGTTGCCACTGTCAGGCCCTGCAGTGGGCAGAGTCATCAGATTCTCGAACCTGAGGACTGTTCAGGGAGGCCCTGATGGACAAGATCAAATGGCTGCACGGCCCCTTCTGGCCTCTTCTGCAGCCGAAACAGGGTAGGGAGCCACGCTGAAACGGGAAGGCTCTGCTTCCTGCCAGGGGCCTGCAGCCAGGGCTCTGGGGCCAGTGTGTAGGGCATGGGGGCCAGGGTCAGGCAGTCAGGACCCGGGGAAAGATCAGTCTTGAGCCCCAAGCCCTTGCTCCTGTGGCCTAGAAGCTTTGATGAGCCCCGCCTTCTGGCAGCCTGGGCCTGTGTCTCCCTGCACAGGCTCCTCTTGGTGGCACCAAGTCCCATGTCCCTGTAGGACTTAGTGCAGTGTCCCACCCCAGTGAATGCCCTGGGGGTGCACAGGCAGATAGGTGACTCTGGGCCTCGTCCAGTCTGGGCTGGAGTCCCGAGGCCTCTATTCCAGGAAGCCCAGCTGCCCCTGCCTGGGCTGTGTCCCCATGCCTTGCACACAGGGCCCTCTCCCATGCCCACGGGAACCCGTGCTCCTCTGGAGTCCCTGGGCACCTTTCCCAGCCTCTTACCTTTTCTGTCCCTTAAATGAGTGTGTCTTTCCTAACTGTTCCAGGCCTCTCCTCTTTGAAATTAACAAGACCATATAGCCCTTCCCAGGCCCCACCTACCCCTGCTCTCCAGGCCCTCAGGCTGTGCTACTTAGGAGTCAGAGCTAGAGGGCTTCCCGGAGGAAGGGACCCCTAAGGGGTCCCTGAAGGGAGAGCAGCAGATGGCAAGCTGGAAAGAGGATAGCCGCAAGACCAGAGGGCTCCCTGCTCACCCTTCCCGTCGCTCCCCCACATCCTGGTTGGTTGGTGCGGCCTGCCAGGCATACACCCAGGATCTGTCCCTCCTGCCTGCACCCAACCCCCTGTTTCTTGTCTCTTGACCTTGATTCCCACACACCTTTCTCCAGGTGTCCTTCCACTCCTCACCTTCCCCCACTCCTGTGTCTTCTGGCCAGGCCAGCAATGCTCATCCCTCCTCCAGAGGCCTTCCAGGGTCTGTGTGCAGGCTGGGTCTATAGTCCATGCTTACTTCAGGCCCCCATGGCTCCAAGGCTCTGCCATCTCCCCTGCTGTGCTGCGGGGTCATCACATTACCATCCTATGTCCATAGGGGTCTCCCCTCCCTGCAAGAAGGCCCTTTGTGCCCACAGGAACCCTGGGTGGAGAGGGCCTGATCAATGCCCCAGCCCTGGCTGAGTGGAGGGCCTCTCCCTGCTCTCTGGGGACCCCAGACCCCAACCCCAACTGCCTGGGAGCCACCTGGCACCATCTGTATCCCTGGATGCCCAGTGACATAAGTCATTGGGTGGAAACTGAGCACAGCTGCTCGGTTCGATTCTAGAGCTGGGGCCAGTGTGGATGTGGGGCACCTACCACCTGAGCCCACTTGGGGCCCAGACCGGCCTTCCAGTGCTGCTGCGAGCTGGTGCTCAGGCAGGCACTCCCGTGCAGTGGCCCTAGGTTGACCAATGAACTAAAAGCACTTGGCTCGGTGACAGAGCAAGACTCATCACACACACACACACACACACACACACTGAGCTAACTGCTAACTGCAGGCTGTAGCTGCAGGGAAAACTGGTCCCTAGGAATAAGTCTTATTCCTTCGTCCCTTTAAAATACACACTGGGGCTGGGCGCAGTAGCTCATACCTGTAACCCCAACACTTTGACAGGCCAAGGCGGGAGGATCACATGAGGTCAGGAGTTCAAGACCAGCCTTGCCAACATGGCGAAACCCCATATCTATTAAGCATACAAAAATTAGCCCGGCTTGGTGGTGTGCACCTGTAATCCCAACTACTTGGGAACTTAAGGCAAGAGGGTCGCTTAAACCTGGGAGGTAGAGGTTGCAGTGAGCTGAGATCAAGCCACTGCACTCCAGCCTGGGTGACAGAGCAAGACATCACACACACACACACACACACACACACACACACTGAGCTAACTGCTGGCTGTAGCTGCAGGGAAAACTGGTCCCTAGGTCAGGGCAGCTGGGTGCTCTCTGCCCAGTTTCCAGGGGTTGGGGCCATCTAAGTGTACCCCTTTAGCTGCTTTACAGGTCCCAGCTTCTGGGAACCTCCCACTGCCAGCCCTGTGTGACCCAGGGCCCATCCAGGGCTGGCTTTAGGGGTTCACTGTAGGTGACTGTGTTCTGGGAGGTGGTGACGGGGTGAGCCTGGAGAGGCAGGGCATGCAGAAGGTGCCGCAGTACGCAGTGCTCAGGGCCACCAGCAAGCAGGCCCCTCCTCCCTACCCCCTCTGCCATGTGCCCCAGGCTGTGCTGTGCTGTGCATGTCCATGCCACACGGTGTCCTCAAGCCTTCGTGTCTGTCATCCCTCTTCCATTGTAGGCAAGCAGCAGGATGGGGCCATGGAGAGTAGCCAGACCAAAGGTAACGTGCGCCGCTGCTCGGGCGCCACTGGCTTGGAGCCCTAGGGGTGGGCTGGTGGAGGGCGTGCTGCGGGGGAAGGGTCACCTGCCTTGGTGGCAGGAGCAGCACTTGGAGACCAGGTAAGTGGGTTGCACAGTCCCATCCTGGTGCAGAGGTAGGAGAGGGCATGCTCCTGGCATCCTGGCCACAAACACAGCCACCTACAGGAGACCTTAGCCCAGCACGGGTGTAAGGATCACCTGTAAGTGGGCACTCCAGGTCCACTATGGCCAGATGAGGAAACTGAAGCCCAGAAGAGCTAACTCGCCTGAAGCTCTGGGTACCAGTCAGGGTGTTTCCCAAGCCAGCTTCCTTTCAGCCAAGTCTGTGGACCTGGGAGACAGAGTGATCCACCAAGACCCAGAGACCTGACTCTCCTCTCAGCCCCAGACGACTGGCAGGTGCCGACACCCCGGGGCTGTGAGGCTCAGGAAGCAGGAGAAGGGGAGTTGGGGAGGCCAGTGTGGCCCACAGAGGAGATGTTGCCCAATGCTCTAGGTGCTGGAACTCCACAGGGACAAGGCAGCTCCTGGCCCTAGGAAGGTCACAGGCAGAGAGACAACCAGGCAATGCCCAGCGTTGGGTTTGGGAGGGCACTGGGGGCAGCCTGATGGCTGAAGCCCTGGGTTGAGAAGGTGGCAGCAGGTGGGGTGCAAAGCTAGAGGGGCCCAGCTGGGTGGGGCATTGCGTCCTGAAGCCCCTGGGAAGAGGAGCCATGGCAAGTAGCCTTGGGCTGCCAGGTGAGCAGGAGTAAGAGGAGGCAGAGGTGGTGGCGGTACCAGAGTATCGAGGGAGAAAGACGAGTCTGCTGCCCCCAGTTGGCTGTATCAGTCCTGGGGTTGAAGAGGAGGTAGGGTGGCCAGGATTACTCTGGGCCATGGAGTGGGTGCAGCCGGAGCTTGGTGGGGAGGGAGATGAGGAAGTGACAGAGGCAGAGGACTGGGCAGAGGAGGGAGCCAGAGCGGAGGGCATACCGCCACCATGTTGACGGTAGTGCGAATGAGGAGCACAGGACCCACAGGGAAGGAGGGAGAGGAGCCGTCTGTCTGCTCCAGGGAGAGGCGGGGAGGGTGCTGGAGGGACAGATGGAGCCTGAGCAGGTGCAGGGCTGGCTGGTGGGAGGACAGTGCACGGGGCTACTGGGCCTCCCTGAAGGAGGTGTGAGGTGACTCGGACACCAGTAGGCAGATGAGTCAGCTCAGGGTTCTGGAATATTCCATGGGACACAGCCCTCTGCTCTCAGGTATTATTTGGGGCATTCCTTGTGCTGTGTCTGTCCTCCCTTCTCCCGAGAGAACCATCTCTGTCTCACCTAGAACAGTGCTGGAGCCACCCCACCCACGCTGAGAGGGCCTGGGCTTAGGAGGCGGGAGAAAGGAAGTGGGTGGACTTGGCAATAAGAAAGCGCCACTGAATCCTGCATCCTCTCTGTGGTGTGGAATGTCTTTCCCCATGAAAGTCCCTTGTAACCCCTTCTCCCCAGCCAGGCTCTAACCTTGGCGATGGGGTTCCTCTGTGTGCAGCTAAGAGGCAGGATGGGGCAGTGGCCATGGAAATGCAACCCCTGAAGAGTGCGGAGGGTGGGGAAATGGAGGATCGGGAGAAGAAGAGAGCCCGCGCACCCAAGAAAGAGAAGTCTGTTCTTCAGGGGAAGCTCACGAAGCTAGCCGTGCAGATCGGGAAAGCAGGTAGGGACGGCAGGCAACTGGACATGGAAGATGCTGGGCTCCTGGAGATGAGCCCAGGCTGTGCAGAGTGAGGTGGAACCAGGCAGCCAGAGGCATAGGCCAGGGCCGGCAATGGCCATCAGGGCCTGGCACAGCCCTTCCTTAGCGAGCATAAATCCCAGACCCTGGACCAAAGCCCTGGGTCACACACAGAGCCACTGCCCATGAGGTGCCCCCACTGAAGGCTCCAGGCTCTGCCCTGGCACACTGAAAAGGAAGCTGGGGGCATGTGGGGCTGGTACCCCGACTTCTGGGGGTTAGTGGGATATAGAAGCTTGCTGGTCCTCCCCAGCAATGCCTCTGATGCCATCAGGGCACAAACTCCACTCCCCTGCCCCAGCAGGACTCCAGAAGAGGCCACACAGAGCCCCCTTGCAAATAGCCCCAGCTCACCTGTCTCCCTCCCTGTCCTCCCCCGGCTGTGGTAGGGCTGGTGATGTCTGCCATCACTGTGATCATCCTGGTCCTCTACTTTGTGATCGAGACGTTTGTTGTGGAGGGCCGGACGTGGCTGGCGGAGTGCACGCCGGTCTATGTGCAGTACTTTGTGAAGTTCTTCATCATCGGTGTCACTGTGCTGGTCGTGGCTGTCCCAGAGGGCCTGCCTCTTGCTGTCACCATCTCCTTAGCTTACTCTGTCAAGGTAATCATAAAACTTACAGTTGATACCATTTACAGAAGCGGAAACTTGGGTAGGAAGCCATTAGCCACCTCGGCCACAGTATAAACTGGGGGAAGTTTGGGATGGCTCAAGGGAGGTGCCGGGCAGGGACCCAGTGGGAAGCTTTCCTGATCTGTCAGCTCAGGTTCCTAGGCACGAGATGTGCCAGAAAGCAGGTGGTGGGGTTCCCCAAGGGGTCAGCATCTGCAGAATGTGGGCAAGGGGATGGAGGCGGGGGTCAGGAGAGGGCCCAGGACAACAGGAGGCAGTGGGAGGAGGGTGGGGAAGCCAGGAGTGGGGTGCTAAGGTGGGAGAGCAGTAGGGGTGGTGGGTAGCTGAAAGGGGGCTCAGGCAGGGGAGGCCCTGGGTGCGCATCCCGTTCCCACCATTGGATGAGGTTGCTGATGCCTTAGAGCCTTGCTGTTGGTTCAGGACTGACCAAGATCCACAGTGGAGCTGGCTGAGCAGAACAGAGTCACGTGATGTTTGTGTTGACATCTCTCACTCCCCAACCCCAACAAGCACCTGGGCCAAATGACCCCACCCCCACCCTTTGCAGAAAATGATGAAAGACAACAACCTGGTGCGCCACCTGGATGCCTGTGAGACCATGGGTAATGCCACAGCCATCTGTTCTGACAAGACGGGCACGCTCACCACCAACCGCATGACCGTGGTCCAGTCCTATCTAGGGGACACCCACTACAAAGAGATTCCGGCCCCCAGCGCCCTGACCCCTAAGATCCTTGACCTCTTGGTCCATGCCATCTCCATCAACAGTGCCTATACCACCAAAATACTAGTGAGCTGGGGCAGGGGCAGGTGGGCAGGGCAGGGGCGGGAGCAGGGGAGGGCCCAGCCAGGGTGTCGGGGGAGCCATTGTGAGGCACTCATTAGGCCCCCGTTGAGAACTTTTGCTTAGAGCCAGAGTGGTCTCTGGGGTGCCTCTAACCCTCCTGTCCATCCTCACAGGTGGCTCTGGCTGTTGGGCAGGGCCTGCCAATTCTAAAAGGTCCTTCCAAGCCCAGTGAATGCTGGGAAACTGCCTTAGCTAAGGCATGACCCTTGCAGTCCTCTAGGGAGACCTACCTCTGCTCCCTGCCTCCCACACCCTGACAATGTGCTGACCACACAGGGGCAGAGCTGGAGCCCCAGGGACGACACGGAGGGAGGTCTCAGGTCCCCGGTGCCATGCTAGCCCTCCTCACCTTGCAGCCTCCTGAGAAGGAAGGCGCCCTCCCACGCCAGGTGGGCAACAAGACAGAGTGCGCCCTACTGGGCTTTGTCCTGGACCTGAAGCGGGACTTCCAGCCCGTGCGGGAGCAGATCCCGGAAGACAAACTTTACAAAGTGTACACCTTCAACTCAGTCCGCAAGTCCATGAGCACAGTCATCCGCATGCCTGACGGTGGCTTCCGCCTCTTCAGCAAGGGGGCCTCGGAGATCCTGCTGAAAAAGTGAGTGGGCAGCAGGGAGGCACCTGGCTATGCATGCAGTTTTCATTTCTATTGTGGTCAAAGAGGGCAAACATAAAATTCACCATTTCAACCACTTTGCAGTGGACAGTTAAACGCGCATTCACAATATCATGCAACCATCACCACAACCCACTTCCAGAACACTCCCGTCGCCCCAGAAAAAAACTCCATAGCCACAAGCAGCCTCTCTCCACACCCCTCCCCAGCCCCAGTGTCCATTCATCTGCTTCATGTCTCTACAGATTTGCCTTTCTGGACATTTCCTGTCAAGGAACTCCTAGTCTGTGTGGCCTTTTGTGTCTGGCTTATTCCCTAGTGTTAAGTTTTTAAGTTGCACCCAAGTAACAGATTTCCTCTTTTTTTTTTTTGCTCAAGCCATCCTCCCACCTCAGTCTACCGAGTAGCTGGGATTATATGTGCACACCACCATGGGCAGCAAAATTTTAAGTGATTTGTACAGATAGGGCCTCATGATGTTGCCCAGGCTGGTCTTGAAGTCTTGGGCTCAAGCGGCCCGCCCGCCCCAGCATTGCAGGCATGAGCCGCCGCCCAGCCGTGACCTGCTTTCAGTTTAGGGTTAATGCCCCGTGGCAGGGTAGAGCACATTTGGTAGGTCCATTCATCTGTCTACCTGTCTGTGAGTTGTTTCCACCTTTTGGCTGTACCTGAATGTGTGAGCCCACGTTTTCCATTCTTTTGGATGGATGTCTAGGAGAGGAATGGCTGGGTCATGGAACCAGCAAACTGTTTTCCACAGGGGCAGAACCACTTCACATTCCTACTGCTGACACATGAGGTTCCCACCTTCTCCCCATCTTCAACAGCACTTATTTTCTGGTGTGACAATGCTGGTGGGGCCATCCTCGTGGCCTTGAGGAGGTATCTGTTTCCATGATGACTAATGATGCTGAGCCTCTTCATGCATTCTGGATCCTAGATCTTTATCAGCTACGCAATTTCTACGCATTCTGTCTCAGATGCACAAATGTTTTACCTTGTGATGAAGCCCAGTTGCTCTGTTTTCTTGTTGTTGCTTACATGGGGTTTCTTTTAGACATGATGAAAACTTTCTGAAATTGGAGACGTGAACTCTCTACTTTAAAGGGCTGGACTGCATGGTGTGTGAATTCTAGCCCAACAAAGGTGTCAGAACCAAGGGAGGGAGAGTGCACAGCTTCACTCCAGCTGCTCTGACTTCCCCACACTCTTGGCCTTGGCCTCTCTGTCCCCCACCCACCTGGCTCCTCATGGCTGTCCTCCCAGGCCTTTGGCGGGCACTTGGATTCACAGACAGACTGTCAATAAAAGGCCCAGCCCAGCTTCACTCTGCTGGATGTGTGTACGTGAGCAAGTTACTGCCCCTTACTCCCATGCCTCAGTCTCCCCTGTGGCATAGAGATCACAGGATACTTATCTCTGGGAAGGGGTGTGAGAATTCCATGGGTGAATCCACATCCATAGGAGGCCCTCCATCCACACAGCTTCTGTTACATCATTTCCTTGGTCACCAGCGTTCCATGCAGTGGCAGCACTTGGTACTCAGAGCCCCACTGGCTTCTTCCACCGTGCCCACCTCTGTAGTCCTTGGCTCCTTTGCTCCCTCCTCTCCGCACCTGAATCCTCCCAGTCCTGTCCCTTTTGAGAAGCTCCTGGAGTCATGAGCACTCTAATGAGACTGCGGCTGTCTGGACTTGGTGATAGCGATTGTCCACTGAGTTCAGTTTTTGCCCATGGTCCATGCCCTTGCCCCATGGAGTCTGTGGCGGTGCTACCATGAGCCACGTGCTCCTACCCACTTCCCGTCTCTCAGCCTGCAGCAGTTCATGAGTATCTGGGGGCTTCAAGTGGCCGAAATGGAATCTGCCCCAGTTCTGGAGGCCAGAAGTTCAAAAGCAGTGTGTGGGCAGGGCTGCAGCACCTCCAGAGTACCTTGGGGAGAGTGTGTCCTGCCTCCTCCAGCTTCCAGTAGTGACCACCAGTCCTCATGTTCCGCAGCTTCCAGCTGCCCCTCTCTAGTCTCTGCGTGCGGCCACAAGGCCTTCTCCCTGTGTGTCTGTGTTCCCACATGGAGCTCTCCTCTCGATAGGACCCACTCCTGGGCTAAGCCCCGAATCCACTGTTTCCTGTTGTTCTCTCCCCGCCTCCACCTTGTCTCTGCCCACCCCCTGCCTAGGTGCACCAACATCTTAAACAGCAATGGTGAACTCCGCAGCTTTCGGCCTCGGGACCGAGACGACATAGTGAGGAAGATCATCGAGCCGATGGCTTGTGACGGTCTCCGCACCATCTGCATCGCGTACCGGGACTTCCCTGAAGGCCAGGAACCTGACTGGGACAATGAGAACGAGGTTGTGAGTGACCTCACCTGCATAGCTGTCGTGGGCATTGAGGACCCTGTGCGGCCCGAGGTAGCCACCGCCTTCTCTGTGAGCTGCCCTGGTAACTGTGCCCTCTGCCCGAGCTTGTCCGGACTGGTAGGGGCGGCCTTTCTTCACACATAGCCGCTGTGGTCCCTCTGCAGTACACTTGCACCCCGTCCTGGGTGCTCTCACCGTGGCATCCGCACAGGTCCTGGGTAGTCCAGCTCAGGCTCTACCTTCTTCCAGCTGAGAGGGTGGCAGTGGCAGAGAAACCCTCAACATTTGGGATCTGTCCCCCCCAGGATGAATGAACTGGAGGTAGAACTGAAGCCTGAGGGACACAGGTTTGAGGGACAGGATGGGCATTTACTACTTGAGGATTTGGCTGGGGCCACTTGAAGGGCAGGACATCCCATAAAGAGCTCACAGCAAAGGTCCCAGAAGCATATCTCCATATGAACGATGCCACCAGGGAGTGCAGACAAGGGCGGCCTCAAGGGTCCCGTGGCAGATGCAAGAGCAGAGTGAAGGCGCACAGGTCAGGCTGGCCATGGGTTTGATGCTAGGAAGTCACTTTGCTGTTGAAAGATGGCAGAACCTGGAGAGCATGGAGGATAGCAGGCCCTGGAGGGAGAGTGCGAGGCGTGGAGGTACCCATCTGTCTCCCCAGGGAGAAGCAGGGCCACTTTAATCCTGCTGATTAGCCTGAGACCTTGTATTTTAGGAGCCACCCTGCGGCATGCAGGTGCAACCCCGGAGGAGAAACTTCTGGACGCTCCTTCGGGAGACAGGGATTCATGTATTGGATCACATAGCAAAGACATGGGTACTGTCAACAGAGCAGCCTTGCGTCCCAATAACATGGTCACAACGTCTGGAGAGGGAGCACCTTGAGCCTGCCCTGGTGGAAATGGGTGGTAGCAGAGGATAGGGACAGAAGTCCAGCCAAGGAAATGGGCCCTGCAAAGGCAGGCAGGGGCATGAGTCCCGGGCCCCACTGGGCCTGGGAGAGCAAAAGGAGAGGGTACCGATGAGGTGAAGCAAGGCCACAGCTGGGGAAAGGCTGAGAGGCCTCTCCCTTCAGGAGCCATCAAGTGCATCTCTTGGACCAGGGAGAAACTGAGGCACAGAGCAGAAGAGGGAGTCTTGCCAGAGGGGCCTGAGGGCTTCAGAGTGGTTGAAAGAGAGAGTCCGCGTGGCAGACCACAGCGACAGGGCCAGGCTGAGGACACCAGGAAGACCCCCACAAAGACTGACCAACCCAGTGGTGGCTGAGGAGGGTGCACAGAGGGCCCAGCAAAGTCCTGGGTGCCCACAACAGGAAGGAGGGCACAAGGGCATCACTGAAACCTGCCAGGGTGCTGGGAGTTGAGGCAGGTCTGCAGCCAGAAGAGGGCCACAGGAAGCGTGCCGCTGGGGAGGTAATGAATCCGGAGCTGGGCCAGCTGGGGGCACTGGCAACTTCTCCAGACACCTGGCTGGCTACGTGCTGTGGGGCCTTGGGGAGAAGACGGGTAGCAGGGCTGAGCAAGTGAGGAAGGACAGCTTGGCCTGGCCCTTTGGGGCCATGGGGAAGGAACAGGGCCACACACATCTGGCCTGAGGAGGCACCAGGCCTGGGTTCACAGCTGCAGGTTTTCAGGCTCGTCACAGACACTTGGTGGCAGCAGAGGGGTGGCTTCCAGATGGTTCAGGACAGCAATTCACTCGCCCATTTGAGCGTTGTCTTCTGTGGCTCATGATATTAGGCAGCACCCCAAGAGCATCAGAGAGTAGAAAGTGTCCTCAAGGCTGGCAGCAAGGGACACACCTCAGGCTCGTCCTGAAGCAGGGCCCCAGCTCTCACAGCAGAGATCACAGCCCCCTGCCCATGGCCTGTGTGTCTATCCCACCTGCCCCAGGCTTCCTCAGCCTGTGGGCTTGGCCACACCTGGGACACCCGCCCACTCTCAGGCTCTCTCCTCCTCCGGCTCAGCGACTGTCCCCCCAGGGCTTCTGCACTCACCCAGTGGAGTTCATAAGGCGCACTGCCTAGGCCTGACCTCCTCATTCAGGTTCCCAAACTCTGAACCTGGTGGGTTTATCGGGACCTAATCCCATCGTAAACTGAGGAGCATCTGCGTTTGAAAACTGAAATGTGTGCTACACAACCAAGGCCACATTTGGCTTCCCCTGGGGTGGAGTGAGATACATTATCCTACAAAGCCTACAACTCTAGGAAAAACACTAACTCCTGAGAAAAATGTCTTAGGTTTTATACTGTTTAAAAAAAAAAAAAAAAAAAAGGCTACAGAGGCAAGGGAGGAAGGAGTCCAGGTGAGAGCCCTGGAGGTGGCTGAGAGTGAGAGGCCCCTTCTCCTTCTTCTTTAGGGCGAACACGGCCCCTGCCAGCGTGTCCATAACCCAGGCTAACCCCAGATCAGCAGCTCTGGGTCTGTTTTCCAGCTGGAAAATGAGGTTGACCCAGGTGACTCTTACAGATGTGAATCTGATGGTGCCCTAGGGCCTGGGTCTGTGTCGTCACTGGTCCCCAGGGCCTGGCATGGTGAAGGAGGGAAGCACCCACTCATCGTAGTTTGGCTGGGGCAAGACAGCCCCACCACCCTCTGGGCCTGCATGGGGACCCATGGTTTGGCTTTCCTGTTACCTCTGCCGGACCTTGAGCTGCCTGCAGATCTGATAGAGCAAGGGCTACTGGCTCGACACAAAAGATGTCTTGCCTCGATGGCCCCACCACCTCTCTTGTCTCTTCCAGGTCCCTGAAGCTATCCGAAAATGCCAGCGTGCTGGTATCACAGTTCGCATGGTGACTGGGGACAACATCAACACGGCCCGGGCCATTGCGGCCAAATGTGGCATCATCCAGCCCGGGGAGGACTTCCTGTGCCTGGAAGGGAAAGAATTCAACCGGCGGATCCGCAACGAGAAAGGCGAGGTAGCACCCGCTGTCTACCGCCCCCACTCCTCCTCCCTGCCCCACGTGCCTGCCCTAGCTCTGCAGCATCCTGTGCTTCCCCTCCCCAGATAGAACAGGAGCGGCTGGACAAGGTGTGGCCCAAGCTGAGGGTGCTGGCCCGGTCATCTCCCACCGACAAACACACTCTGGTCAAAGGTAGCCAAGCTCCCACACCTTCCCGGGGTAGTCGGCCTGAGGTTGTCTGCTCCCTGAAGCCAAAAGTCAGGTTCCCAAACAGGTCCCCAGGGCCTGCCTAAGAAGCTGGATCCATTTGTCCCATTAGCTCAGAGCAGCAGGGCTGGGGCCCATGAGGGAACGGGGGTTCAGGGAGGGCCAGTGACTCACTCCAAGTCACATAGCCTTTCTCTAGAAGCAATGGGTCTAGAGCCAGGGACCAGGGATCACGTCCCCAGGCCTTAACCAGTCAGCCCCCAATCCCCATCCTCCCACCCTGGCCCTGTCACTCAGTGAGACCTGGTTGCTTATCTGGGGATAGGAAATGGTCCTGGTGATAGGGAGCAGAGATAATTGGGACAGTCAGCACATGTGCAATCCCAAAGGGTTTTCACAGCCAACCTGCCCCCATAGATCCCTGGGCAGGGCTTCACAGGGATGTGTTGACAGATGGGCCCAGCCCTGCCCTGCCCTGATCTGTCTTCCAGGGATTATCGACAGCACCAGTGGCGAGCAGCGGCAGGTGGTGGCTGTGACTGGGGATGGCACCAACGATGGGCCGGCCCTCAAGAAGGCGGACGTGGGCTTTGCCATGGTAAACCACCCGGTTGCCATCCCAACTCACCACAGCAGATGGGGCCTGTGTGTGTCCCATGGACTTTAGCTTTATACCAGGAAGTAGGAGCCAGTGTTGGGGCAGGTTATAGAGTGACCGAAGGTTCTTTCTCTCACATCCGGGCCACTTGGGCCTGTGTGGGCTCTGCCAGTCAGAGAACACGTGTTTAAAGGCATCTATTGTGATGCCCAAGGTGATAGTGGGACCTAGACGAGATATACTGTGGAGAGGAAGGGGAGTGGGGGTGGGGGCTCGCCACTGATGGAGTTGCCCACCCCCAGTCCTCTCTAAAATGGACACTCAGCCCCAGATGAGGTGAGCAGGGTCTCCAAATGTACTCTTCCTCTGTACTTCCTTCCTGTTGCTCACCCACTGAGCAGGGTGGCCCTGCAGACGCCACCCACATGGCCTTTTTCGGAAGGCCACCTGGGGAACCCAGCCCAGTCCTTCCTGGCACCTGTAGCCCAGAGGGGAGCTCCAGCGCAAACTTCACGAAATAGCGGCTCTCACGGGCCAGAGTTGGGGCAGGGGAGAGGGCTGAGCAGCTTTTTCCAGCGTGCCTCACACAGCAAGCCTCTCTGGAGTGCTAAGAATAGACCAGGCTGGTTTGTGGCCACGTGGCAGCAGCTGGCCTTTATGTGTAAAGCCATGTTGATGCCATGTCATCAGTACCCTCTGTGTTTATGAGGAAAGCCCCCCTCACCATGACATGTGACAATTTACTGGGTGTAGTATAAGAATGTGTGAGATAAAAATCAGTCCTGTTCTTGGCTTTGCAGGGGAGGGGTGGGATGTTATTCAGAAGGGAAGGGCAGGGAGCCAGCCCAGGTGGGCCAGGTGATCTGGGGGGCTGTGGAAAGGAACCCCCAAATACTCTGTGTGTGTGAGTGTGTGTGTCACCCGTCAGGGCATCGCGGGGACCGATGTGGCCAAGGAGGCGTCCGACATCATCCTGACAGATGACAACTTCACCAGCATCGTCAAGGCCGTCATGTGGGGCCGCAACGTCTACGACAGCATCTCCAAGTTCCTGCAGTTCCAACTGACAGTCAACGTGGTGGCCGTGATCGTGGCCTTCACAGGTGCATGCATTACTCAGGTAGGCACTGAGGGCTACGGTGCCCCGGCTGGGACACCTGGGCTCAGGCCTGAGGGCCACATTATAAGACTGAGGGTTTTGTTTTCTTTGCTGCAGATTATTTTAATTGAGATCAAATTCACATGCCAAAAATTCACCATTTTTGAGTACACAATTCAACACTTGAATTTAGAGGACATTTACCATTGCCTCTATCTAGCTCCAGGAGATTGTCGTCATCTTAAAAAGAAGCCCTGTGCTCTTGAGCAGTCACTCCCCATTGCCCCCCAAACATCCCAGCCCTCCGCCACCACTCACGGGCTTCCTGGGTCTATGGATTTGCCTGTTCCAGACTTTTCATTCCAATGGGATCAGATATTGTGTGGCCTCATGTCTGGCCATCAGGACATGATTCCCACTCGTTAGCGCTTGTGAGCGGCGCTGCCGGGAACATCTGTGTATGAGTTTCTGTGTGTCCCATGGGAATGCTTTTTTTCTCAATAGTCTCATTTTCCTCATGGGTGAATGTCTAGATTTTCTTCGCTGCCCCCCCCGTTAGAAAGGGGGTACAAAAAAATACCCGTTGGTTGCTGACAGGGATTTGAAATGCCTGCTGATCAACTTGGTCTTTTCAAATATTTTTTTTAACCAAGACAAAAATCACATAACAAACTTCACCAGAACCATTTTAACCTTTTGAAAGTCTGTAACTCACAGGTTTATCTCCCTCTGCAATGTCACAACCGTCGCCACGGTCTTCCCAGAACACTCTCTTCACCCCAAAATGATATCCTGTCCCCATGACCAGTCACTCTCTACTCCCCGTCCCCCAGCCCCTGACACCCACTCATCTGCTTTCTCTCTCTGTGGATTTGTCAGTTCTGGAAGTTTCCTATGAATGGAATCAGACAGTACGTGGCCTTATGTGTCTGGCTTCTGTGAGGCTGATTTTTAACCAACAACTCAGAGGAGCTGAGAAGAAAGGTCCAGCTCAGAGTTTCTGCCTCCTCCTCCTCCTGGGGTGCAGGAGACAAGGAGAGCAGCCCTCACTCTGTTGCCCCAGATGGCAGAACCCATCGTCAGGCTGTTTTGTGGTCTGGGGTTTTTCACCTCCTGCGAGGGATTTGGAGCACACCTTCTAGATCACTGCCACCAGGTGAGAGAAGGGAGGTGGGCGTGTGACAGCCCAGAGAAAACGCCCCGCTAGCCTAAAGGAGATATCTGTTTTCATGGGTTTGAAATCCCAGTGATGTGGACCCCACGAGGAGTGTTCCCCGAGGCGTGACTGGGTTTCCACCCCCGGCCTTCCCGGGTGGGAGGCCCACGGAAAGGTGAATGCCTCCTCTCCGTAGGACTCTCCTCTCAAAGCCGTGCAGATGTTGTGGGTGAACTTGATCATGGATACCTTTGCCTCTCTGGCCCTGGCGACGGAGCCTCCCACAGAGTCACTGCTGCTGCGAAAGCCATATGGCCGAGACAAGCCCCTCATCTCCCGCACCATGATGAAGAATATCCTGGGCCACGCTGTGTACCAGCTCGCCATCATCTTCACCCTGCTCTTTGTCGGTAGGCTGGCCAGGGGCACGCAGGACACCCTCGGGACACTGTTGCCAGAACCTCGGGCTCAGATTCTGTCCGGTATCCCTCCACCTGTGTCCCTGGGCAGCACCCAGGGAAAGGAGCAGATGGGCCAGGCCAGCAACGCTCCAGTAAGGCCTGCTGGGAGCCTGCAGCTCTTTCTTAGCCTCTCCTCCCAGGCCCCTGAGCAGCTGAGAAACAGTTTGTGTCTTGACATCCTGCTCCCAGCCTCTACCTAGCCCCAGAGTGGCCATGATAACCCTAGGAACAGAACATCCCACAGTTACCCCTTGACGATTGCTCCCACGGAGTGACAGGGGTGCTGTGCTGGAAGCTGTGGGACAAGGGGGACTATCAGAGATAGAGGGAGGAGGAGGGCATCTGAGGAAAGCCAGAATTAGGAAGCATCCCTTCTTAGCCTCTTCCTTCTGCCCTCAGGCTCAGGGACAGCACCCCTGGGTCTGTCCCTGGCCTGATAGGGTCTCAGGACTCTGGTCTGTTGAGCCTGTGGTCTGGCTGCCTTGTCTGTGGCCTTGTCTGTGAGCTGGAATTGGCCATCCTCTGGGAAAAGAGACCCCTCTCGGCAGCTACACACTGTGGTCTCGCTCCTGAGTGATGCGTCATGCACTGAGATTGCTGTGCCTGAGTGGGGAATGTTGCCCGGTACCCATGGGGGCTGCTCCCTCATGCACGTGCCCCTACCTTCCAGGAGAGCTCTTCTTCGACATCGACAGCGGAAGGAACGCGCCCCTGCACTCACCCCCCTCAGAGCACTATACCATCATCTTCAACACCTTCGTCATGATGCAGCTGTTCAATGAGATCAACGCCCGCAAGATCCACGGCGAGAGGAACGTCTTCGATGGCATCTTCAGCAACCCCATCTTCTGCACCATCGTCCTGGGCACTTTCGGGATCCAGGTGGGGCCCCGCATCTGCCCTAGTGCTGGCCTCCCCACCTCCACTCCCAGAAGAAGCCCCACCCCATCTGGCTTTCCTGTAGCCCCCGGGCCTATCACTGGCCTTGCCCTGGGTTAGCCCACTGGTTTCCAAAAGGGTTTCATGAGCCTTCATCAGAACTAACTTTTCTCACAGGTGCCCCCTCTAGGTCTGCCATTCCCATTCCTGGTACTTAATTCCTTGGCACAAGGCTGCCATAGCTCCAGAAGGTTGTTTTGCAGATGCCCTCTGTGATCAGTGCTGCCATACTAACCTCTCTGCTTCCCACAGGGCTGTGGACAGGCTGGTCAGCCCCACTGTCTATTTGTAGAAAAACTGAGGTATAGTAAGGCCAATAGGTCAGGAGACAGTTGCCATTGAAAGACAGTTTATGACTCACAGATCCCTAGAGGAGGGGACATGGCACACAACAGGCGCCCACATGGTAGAGCGCCAGGCAGGAGCCAGGGTGTGGGAGCTGTGGACAAGAGCCTGTGCTGTGGTTCCTTCGGGGAGGAGTGGGTGAGGCAGTATGGCTGGTTGTGTCATTGCAGCAGTTCTAGGGCATAGGGGCACTCCCAGTTGTCTGGTACCTGGCTCGGACTGTGAGGGTCCAACAAGGGACAGGGTGTTTGCATCTGGAAAGCTTGCTCCTGAGAATTGGATGCCTCCCAAGGAGGCAGGAGGCCAAGGCAGGGTGACCAGCAGGTTCTAGGGTCCTCCAGAATGAGGCATGTCTGGTGTGCCCGCAGGCCTGGTGTCACAGCCTCTGGTTCGCACCCGGGGTGGTGGGGCCACACGCTGCTCCGTCACAATACCCCTGGCCTTGTGGTCCTCTCGCAGGGAGCAGCCTGTGTGCCTGGGGGAGCTGACCAGGGTGGCTGGGCCTTCAAGGCACTGGAGGACAAGGGTGGCTGGAGCTGCGGCTGGACCTGCCTCTCTCTCACCTGCCCTTTGTAGATTGTTATCGTCCAGTTCGGCGGGAAGCCCTTCAGCTGCTCCCCGCTGTCCACGGAACAGTGGCTCTGGTGCCTGTTTGTTGGTGTTGGGGAGCTGGTCTGGGGACAGGTGAGTGACAGCCCTGCCCCTCATTCCAGACTGCCCTACAGAGAGCTTCTGTGATGGCCCCACTGCCCTAACCCTGCTCCAGAGCCTTGGGGTCCACACCCCAGGAAGCATACTGTGTCCTCAGGCCTCTGACACACCAGGACCCAGGGACAGGCCACAAGGGATGGTGTCAGCAAAAGAATGCAAAGGAACATGGCCGGGATGTGACATGGCCCAGGAAAACTGCCCATAGCTCCACTTTCCATGATAAGAGTCAAAAATTATCCCTTCAAACTGGGTGGGTAGCTTGGGTAATCCCTACATATTTTAAATCAATCAAACACCACACTGGTCAGTAAGCCATGGGGTGGAGACAAAGTCTGAAAAGAAAGTCTCGCGAGAAACGAGGAAATCTTTTGGTCTGCGGGAAAGGATGGCGAGCCCCACATCCAGCTCTGGGAGCTGCAGCTGAAGCGCACACTAGGAGTTTCTGGGATCCCACAGTCAGATCAGGAAGAAACAGCCATAGACTGGGAGCCTTGGACAACGGACACTTACTTTCTCAAAGTCCTGGAGGCTGGGCATCTGAGACCAGGGAGCCAGCGGGCCGGTTCCTGGTGACGGCTCCTTCCTGGCTTGCGGACAGCCGCCTCCTCAATCTGTGCTCACGTGGTGGAGAGACGGAGCAGGGCCTCGATAACTTCCTTACTCCAAATCCAGCCACACTGGGCCCTAGGACTTCAACACATGAACTGGGGAGCATATTCCGGCTTTTGTTTCTTTTTTTTTTGAGACAGGGTCTTGTTCTATTGCCCAGGGTGGAGTACAGTGGTACAATCTCAGCTACTGTAGCCTCAAACTCCCAGGCCCAAGTGACCCTCCTATCTCAGCCTCCCACATGCCACCACAAAATACAAAAATTAGCCTCCCACATTCCAACACACCAGACTAATTTTAGTATTTTTTGTTGAGACAAGGTTTTGCCACGTTGCCCTTGAACTCCTGACCTCAAGTCATCTGCCCACCTCAGCCTCCCAAAGTGCTGGGATTATAGGCGGAAGCCACCATGCTCGGCCTGGCTTTTGATTTTGATCTGCTGGTTCTCTGTTATGACCACAGGGGCTGCTGCATTAGCGTCCTCAGGGACAGTCCACCCAATTCTTCTGCCTCATTTAAGAATTCTCCTTTTCCTCTGCTACTGCACCTCGAATCTGGTCTCTCCATGGACTTTAACCACAGCCCAAGGGGGTGCCAGGCCCTCTCCTTGAGCTCCATTTTGCCCCAGGAACATGGCACCAGCCTGTAGCTCAGTCTCTCAGGGTTACCAGCTTGTCTTTTTCATTTTCAACCTTGTTCAATTACAAAGATAAAGCATCTTCAAGTGAAAAACTAATAGAAGGGAATGTGTGTGAACCAGTCCTCAAGTTCCCCGCCTGGCCATGTTCAAGAAGGACACACAAGATAGACAGGACGTCTTATTCTAGAACTCTGCAGCTTCCGCCGTGTCCTTCTAGACTGTTCCCCCCACTTCCCAGTGGCCTGCAATATGCAAAGCTACTGGGAAATGGCCCTCTCTTCACTCCTGCCTGTCACTTCCCAACTTCCCCCGATGCACAGGTCTTCTCTAGGCTGGTCTTCCCCCAGGAGATGCCCTTTCCAGGAGAGACTAGGTCAGAGCTCCAGGTGCGTCTCCCAGCAACGGTGTGGAGCAACATGCAGGGAGTATTGTCAACCAAGGCAGCTCACCCAGCCCTGGTGTCCGCAGCTTTTCTTGGGGTGCTTCACAGAGCCATGCTGTGCTCACGTGGCTGACCTCCATCTCCAGCCTTCCGGAGGCCCGGCTGTTAGTATAGAGTACGGGCATGGCCCCCAGCCACCGGCCCCGGTAAACCACACTGCTTTCAGGCAGGATGTTCCAGGGGCTTAGCGATCTCTCCCAGGAACCCTTACTGCACAGCGTTCCACTCCTGGGCCCTTTGGCTGAATGGGACTCCATGGAGGAGGGGTGGGCCCAGAGCTCCACATACTCCTGAAAACGCACCTCAGCCCCCGGGGAACACTACGCCAGTTCCCCAGGGGCTGCCAGTTCCTGGGGGCAGAGATGGGGGCTGCTCTATCTTTACTCCCCTTGCTTAATCACAAAAATCAAATGACATCCTTTAGAGGAAGGAGGCTGGTGTCTCCCTCTGCAGAGGGGACCTTGATGCCAGGCAGATGCAGCTCAGTCTGGCTCTCACAGCCATCTCCCTGTGGCTCCCCCAGGTCATTGCCACCATCCCCACCAGCCAGCTCAAGTGCCTGAAGGAAGCTGGGCATGGACCGGGGAAGGATGAGATGACAGACGAGGAGCTAGCCGAAGGCGAGGAAGAGATTGACCACGCCGAGCGGGAGCTCCGCAGGGGCCAGATCCTCTGGTTCCGGGGCCTGAACCGGATTCAGACCCAGGTAAGCCCCACCTCGCTCTTGCCCAGGTGCTTCCATCCTGAGATGGTAGAGGCAAGTTGGCAGCAGCAGCCGAGAGCCGGCTGTCCGAACCCAACACCCACAGGGAAACGCAGCTGCTGGTGTCCCCTTTGCCATTCCAGGATGTGCCCACTGATGGCTGTGGCACTGAGGTCGCCTCTCACTGACACCTCCTTCAGAGCCCAGGTGTCCCCTGTAGCTAAAGGTGTGTGTGGGTAACTAACGGCTCTCTCAGAGGCACGGGCCAGCGCTATCCTCATCACTGCAGGAGCTCCCTTTACTTGGGGGGAACTGCCCCAGATCACAAGCAAGTGACATTCTCGGGAAGACAGGCCCATTTCACACAGCCACCAGCAAGCTCAAGGTTGACTGGATGGCACCATCAATGCAATGGGGAGGCTTCATTTGGGATGTGGACTCTGGCCACCTAGTTGGTCCTTTCTGTTCTTCCAAATCAACAACTGTTAGGGCTGGCCAAGACAAGGGCCGTCAGCTGTGTTCCCCCCTGAAGTCAGGCACTTGCCAGAGCCACCCTACTCCCTGGTTCCCATCTCCTCCCAGCCAACCTCCTGCCAGAACTCTCTTGTGATCCCACTGCAGCCCGGCCTCTGCCCACCACTCCCCAGAAACGGCGCGCGCCTAGGTCTGCAAGGCTCCCCTCCAGCTCCTGAGGTCGGGCTATCCCTGCATCGCTCCTGCCTGCTGTGGGCACTGCCTGGAGACTTGCTGTCCTCACCCGCCTGGCACCCCCACCTCCTGCTCAGCCCTTGCCCCACCCTGCTGTGGCCCTTGAGCGCTGAAAGTCCTGGCCGGGGAGGAAGGAAGAGCCTCGCCCTCTCCCACGGCAGCCCCTGCAGCCTCTCCTTCACGGCCTGCCCTTCCCCCAGCAGCCTGCAGAGGGCCACCCAGCATGCGTCACAGTCCACCTCCTCCTGCAAGGCCTGGGCCACCGTCTCTCAGGTCACAGCCATCGCTCCCTGCCCCTCCAGCCTCTGTCCTGGACCCCCAGTCCCACTGCCCCTGACATGGAGCGACTGACTGCTGCTCCTCCCTGGGGTCCTGCGCACTTGGCCGTGCAGCCAGGGTTCGCCTAAGCCACCAGCCCCAGGTAAAGCGGGAACATCTGGTTGGGCCTGAGGCCACACCTTTTCCCAGGGTCTGTCACACCTCACCAAGGGCTTGTCCCAAAGAATCATCCATGCAATTTGCCCAAGACTGTTCTTGGTGCCCTGGGTCCCACTCCTTCCCAGTGGTATCAAGGGCCCAGCCTCAGGGCAGCCCCACCCCCAGGCCGCAGCCTCCCTTGCTTGCCTTGGCTCCACCCTGCAGTGCGACTGGTGGAGCCTCTCTCCATTGTTCTAGGGATGAAGTCCAGGCTCCTGACCATGCCTTCAAGCCCCTGCCTCTCAGTGTCAACCCATCCTCCTGCACCCCTGCACCCCTGGCTGCCTTTCCAAACATGCCCTGCCCGCCTGTGCACTGCATCTCCCCAACTCCCGTGTGCCTCCTGGGGCCCACATGCTTACAAAGCCCTCTCTGACTCCACTCCCACCACGGGCCACCTGTGCTGCCAGCCCAGGGCACTAGAGTTCCTGCCGTACTTTCCAGAGCTACAGAGTCCCCAGGCCTACCCCAGAGACCACAATCATGCAGGGCTAGGTCGGGGCACAGGAGAGCTTCACATTTAAAGCTGAGAACTGGGAGGTGGGGCTGCCATCCGAGGCACCTCACACAGCGCAGCCTGGGAAACGTGTCTTAGGTCTGGACTCTGAGCACTGTTACCTACCCTCTGGCCTGGCCGGAACAAAGACAGCCTCGGTGAGGAAGGAGAGCTGGCTTTGTAGCCATATGGCCTGCATCTGCCTCCCAAGTGCAAGGGCTAATTGTACAAAGAGCCTTTTCTCGTTCCCCGAAATACATATTTCTGTGCTAAATTGAAAACACATCAAATGTTAGAAGCAGCACCCGTCCCCCGCAATGCCCTCCTGGCGGTTCAACTGTGCCTTCTACAGGACCATGCCTATGAGCCCCCTGGCTGCACCCAGTTGGGCTCTTATCTGTCACATCCCTGTTGTGCTACAGAGCCCAAAGCTGCCTAAGCCTGGGGTGGGGGGTGCAGAGAGCAGAACCTCGCCCCTCAGAGGCCCGCTTCACTTTTGTCAACGCAGCCAAAGGTGACTTTGTTTTTCCAGCAGCGGAGACAGCAGCCCTGCCCCGATCTGAAGTGTCAGGTGGCATCAGTGGTACCCTGGCCACCTGTGTCTCGTGTCCTCTGTATATGGGGGCCACTGCAACCTGGCTAGTAGAAGCAGGTCCCATCAGTTAGTCTTAGAGTTCCGGGCTGTTCCAATTGTCGGTGCCCAGACAGACACGGGCTGGTGATGCCCCTGCTTTGTCTCTGAGGAAACGGCGACCCCGGGAGCAGGACTCACTCCTTTCCCCTTGGCTCCTGACCCCCAAGGCTTTCACTTTGACTTTGTCACATGCAACTCACCATGTTTCTCAGGAATGCCAAACCAGTCAGTTCTTTTAGCCGACTATGAAAGAGCACCTGCTCTCTTTGATTCGAAATACGTGCTTGGAAAAAAATGGAGCTAAAGGAAAAGCCCATCAGGTTGTACATATGTCCGAAGCCGAGAAAAGCATTTCCTAGGCAGCTGGCCCCAGAGTTCTGCATTTTATGTCCCCAAACTTGTTCCCCAGATTTTGGAGGCTGGCACACGCTTTTATGTTGCTAAGTGAAGGCATTTTGTAAGCTGCTACCTGCTCGCACCACGGTTCCACACTAACACATCAACGCACCAGGTGGACAGGGTGCCTTCCAGAATAAAAGAGTCCTTCAAACCCACAACATGTAGCTGTTTGAAGCGCTCATGACTCGGTCTGTCTTTTTTGCACCCATTATAACCCAAAGAGAAGCTTCACCAGCGACTGAGCCTTGCTCCTGGCCCAGCTCTTGGGCTTCTGGGTATGGGGTGGTGGCCACTGTGGTATTGTCACTGGTGTGGCTCTCCCACTGGGACATCATCTGTAGCCTTTTGCGGCAGTGAGAGTCCTTTCCTGAATCTAGACAGGAGACCGCCCCAAGCCACCGCGACAGCATCACATCAACCATCCTCCTTCCGTGCACTGATACACTCAGTACGTGTTGCTCACAGTCGCAGACAGCTCCATGAGGTTCCCCTTGTCGCAAGCGAGCAAGTGGGATGTGCTGGCCAGAAGGGGACTGGGCAGGCTGAGAAGAAGGAGAAGCCCTTTCTGAAGCGCATCAAGGGTTGAAGTGGCGGACATCCTCATTTTGCTCAGTTACAAGGGGAGTCTGAATACTCAAGCTGCCTTCTTCCACGAAGCCCTGGCCCAGGTCAAGACACCTAGCTGAGCCTGGTGGCCACCACACAGCCACCGCAGGGCTTGGGCTGGAGCAGGTAGCTCACATCACCTCCAGCAAAATGGACACAAGTCCCATGCCAGCCAAGGGCAGGTCAGGAAATCCAAAGACAATGGGTCAAGGTCCTCCTGTGGGCCTCAGTTTCCCAAGCCTCGCTTCCCCTTCAACTTGTAGAAAGCTGAAAGAGTGGGGACAAAGCGAAGCCATGCCTGCCGGTCAGTGGGAAAATGCCCCCTCCTGCTAGGTCCCTTTAGCTACTGAGGTTTTGAGGGGGCACCCCGCCAAGTCATTGCAATGAGCCGCAGAAGTTGGCAGAGATGGGCAGGCAGAGAGAGCATGAGGCACAAACCCTCAGGGTTTAGAGGAAGCAGGGCAGGTTCTAATAGGAGCATGTCCTGTCCCTCAGGCGTGTTGGGGTGGAAAAAAACATTGAGAACTACGAAGTGCTTCCTGACGAGTGGCTTGCAAGGGGCATTTCTGAGATGTTTGCTGTATGGCCCCGACTCGTGACCCCTTCCCTTCCAGATCTCATGGCCACTAAGCATCTGCTCAGCAATCCCTCTCTCAGTGGGTGGCACAGAGGCCAGCCTCGGTTGGGGCCCTGTCCAAACATCGCCAGCTCCCAGTGAGCGGGGTGACCCAGTGAGGCTTTGCTGTCGCCCTATGTGTCCTCCCCCCACAGTAGCCTGGACAACAGTGCAAGCCACACTTTATCTCATTTTCTCTCCCACAGATGGAGGTAGTGAGTACCTTCAAGAGAAGCGCTTCATTGCAGGGTGCTGTGCGCCGGCGGTCCTCGGTCCTCAGCCAGCTCCATGACGTAACCAATCTTTCTACCCCTACTCACGTAATTCTCTCTGCTGCCAATCCCGCCAGTGCTGCTGGGAGTGAGTCTTGACTTCCCTTTTCTCCCATAAATGGCATCTCTGGGGAAGAATAAGCCTCCCCAGCTCGGCCTCTTTCTTTTCCAGTCTTGCCTCCCGCTCACCGTGGCTTTTCTGTTCTTTCTTTACCGCGCTGTGCAGTCCTTCGAAGGCCATGTTCTTTTATGAAATGTAACCAACACACGGCCCTCCGGCCCTCCTGTTCTTTGCTTTGGTGTTTGGTTTGTGTTTAGTGCTCCTTGTGCCATTGGTTTTCCTTTCTTGAACCTGTCTGCCTTTGCCGACGGTTCTTCATGATCTTGGGCCGCTTCTGGAGGTGTCTGGGGTCAGGCCGGGGCCTCGCTTGGTATTCAGTGGTGCAGCGTCAGGGCAGCACGTGGGCTCAGGGCTGCCTTCCCAGGGCTGCAGGGGTGGCGGGTGCCTTTCCCGCATTGTTTGCCATGGAAGGATCCAGCCCACCTACCCAGGAACTGGAGCGGCCGCTTCCAGCATTCTCATTGAGTTGGTTTCCTAAGGATCCTGCTGTCACCCGTCCCCAGGTTGCTCAGTGGGAGCCAATTATTCCTGCAGAAGTGGCGCCTGCACCGGCAGCATGCCCAGGTGTTCCCTAGCCTGATCCTTAACCCACACACTCTCCTCTCTTTCCTCTGAGAAACCGAGAGAAACCACTTCCCTTTGAGAGGTTGCCGTGAAAACTTCCCACCATGTTGGTCACATTTTAAAGAGAACCCAGGGGCTATCCATAATTGCTTACATCTTTTTGCAAAGAGAAAGGAAAGCCCACTCTACCGCTGAGCATACCCCCATGGTGAGACAGAATGCAGGGAACCCAGTGGGCTTAGCCAGGCACCCTGCTCTTTCCAACAAACTCAAGAGAGTTTACACACCAAGCAGTAAACTTTGGCGCGTGGGCCCAAAGCCTTGCCAGGATGGTTCTATGCTACCTCTTTCTTTTCCTTCTAGCAAGCCCCTGAAGCGCTCCCCTCTGCCAACATGAACACGCCACCCCTGCAGACCTTAACCACGCCTTCTTCCATCACAGACTCTTCCAGCTTGATTTCTTTTCTTCTCCTTTCTTTTCCTTTTCTTTTTTTTCTTTTTTTTTTTTTTTTTTTTTAGGAACTGGTGAGAGGTCCCTGGTGTGGGTCACCCCTCCTCTTGCATAAGCTGTCATTTTGGGCCACTTTGTCCTTTAAGGAAGGGAAGAGGGCCATCCTGTCCCCCTTGGGAACAGAGCACATGCACTCAGACACACACACACACACACACACACACCCCTCCAAGCCACAGGCCACGCACACCTCCAGCTTACTCCACACTCATCACAGGGCCACCAACCCGGGTCACAAATATTGGCCGACACCATGGTGGTTGGGCTGAAAAGCAGCCAGCATCCCCAGTGCCCTAGACATGGGCCCAGAGGGGCCTCACTGCCACTCCACCTAAGAGGCCAACAGGAGGCTCCGCCAAGTCAGTTAATGACAGAAATGGTTCGTGGCCTCCCAGCACCTTCCTTCCTGGGAGGTGAGGGGCAGCTTGGGGCATGGCTATGCCCCTGCCTCCCTCCCCCTTGACTTCCTCCATATGTTGCTTTGCCATCTTTCTCTGTGCTTCCTGTCTGTCTGTCCATCTGCCCATTTGTTGAGTTAAGAGGAAGGCAGCCACCACGGCCCCACTCTACGCATTCCTCGAGCGTTCTCCATGGCTCTGGCCTTATCCCACCCCAGGGCCAGCTCCTCGCCCCTCTTCAGGTCCAGCCCAGCCCTGCTGTGGGGCCTGCTGTCTCTTCTCCCTCTGGATTCCCCCCACTTCCTCCCTGGGGCAGCCTCTCTCTTCTCTCTTCCTTGGCTCTTAGCACTTCCTTCCTGCCTTCATCCCGTGGCCATCTGTTCCCCTCCTCCCCACCTCTGGAGCCTGGCAGTGCCGGGTAAGTACAGTGGGAGAGACGCCACCCCTCCTGCTGTTCACAAGCTATTCCATGGGGGCCCTAAGTGCCAGATAGCTAGAGGAGGGCAGCTGTCCCTTGCACACTGTGTGCTTCAGCAGAAGGCGGGTGGCAGGGCCCTCTGAAGGGGGTGCTGCTGTAAAGTCATAGGAGTCCTGATGTCCTGCCCAACAAAACCCGCCAAAACCACCACCCACCAAAACCACCACCCGCCAAAACCGACACCCGCCAAAACCACCTCCTGCCATCATCATGGTGCAGCAGATTGGTTTAGAACTCAGAACCCAACCCCCACTCCACGCCTCAAGGACCCCAAGACATCACCAAGCCCGGCACTCTCATCCTAGAGATCAGGGGAAGGAGGAGCAGCCAGGCCCGGCAGAGTGCGGACTAGCACCAGCGCCCACCCTCTCCTTGGAACTTTCTGGTGGATGGGAGATGCTCCAATGGCCGTGACAGAGCTCCCCTAGACAAGACGGCTGCCCCTACCAGGTCTGCAGGGTCTTCAAGTCACGTGGTTTCCTAAGGCAAACCCACAGTTTCCCATCCTCTTTGCCTGCTCCAGGCCAGGCTACCTTTCAGCCCACCGGGAGTCTGGGGCCTTTCTGGGCACTGGTGCTGCCTCCATCCAAAGGCTTTCCCACTAAGGACCTCAGGCCCTCCAGGGAGAAGGGTCAGGGGTTGGTACCATGACATCCCCTCACCCTGTGCCCCTGGGGCCAATGCAGGAAGTAGCAAGAAAGTGACTAGGAAGAGTCCAGAGATGCAGGATCGCTGGGGCTCAGGTCTCACATATTCCAGCCCTCCCCACCTTGTCTAGCCTCCCACGCTTTTGCTGCTTCCGGACTCAGGAGTTCCAACACAGGCCCAGCCTTCCTCTGCCTGCATTGTCAGACTGTGCCAGCCGTGACCTCACTCCAGGCTTCCGGACAGCCTCCAGTGCCCCTCGCCTGCTCAGCCTGCCCACCTGCACCATGCCCCAACCACACACACACCGAGGCTGCAGCATCTCTCTCCCGATGGAGTGTCCATATTCCAGAGAGCTGACCAGAGAGGGGGGTTCAGCTGCTGGGGTCTACTAAGGGCAGCAGGCCCAGGGGTCTGCGTGTCAGCCCCCAGGAGGGACAGGAGGGTGCGGGTCACTCAAGAGGTCTTTTATGTCTGTTTTCCACTGGGACGCACAGACACACCCCAGCCACGCATCCTTCCTGCAGCGCCCACACTGGGCATGTGTGAGATGCTCGCTGTTGGAGTGGCTCATGAGATGGCTCCTGACCCGGCAGTGGGCCATGAGTCTAGTCTCATGTGGCCACAAGGGGTCCCTCAGGGCCGTTTAGTTCTGGTTAATCATGCTGGAAACATATCACAGCAGTTGCTTTGTTTTATTGGCTTTTACAACAAGAAAACCTTGTGGCCAAAGGGGCCACATCGGGCTACGTGAGTCCCAGGCTTTCCTTGGACACTCCTTTCCAGGGCCCAGGGTGACATGCACTCCACACTTGCAACCCCATAATGGAAGGAGTCTTGTTTTACGGAGTTTGCTCCATTCTCGGGAAGGTCATGTGCTTTGAGCCAAGCCTCCCTACCTGGCTTCTGGCAGTTTTTTCTCAGCTCTTTGACAGCCCGTAGTCCGCCTCCATGCTGAAAACAGTATCAGCCCTCCCCAAGAGCCTGCCCTGCCCCAGGTTTTCCTGGAGCCCTGGGCTCTGCCACAGGGGAATGCCTTTCCAGGCAATTCCTAAAGCAGACACCAGAACACAGCCTAGGGCATACCCCAGAACCCCTGGTCCAAGGCCCTCCCCATCAGGCACTCTGAGTGCAGACTTCCAAGAGTAATTGGAAGTCCCACAGCTGGACTCGTCTTCCTCCTGGGCCCTCTTCAGTCAGACCACCCGACAGGCCTGGGATTCGCCATGCCCAGGTCAGTTCACCTGCTCAGTGCTGATGTCAGGAGCACAGATTGAGGCTCACACGGTCCAGGGCATGAGTGTACACAGGGTGAGAGGCACTTTTCCTGAAACTTGCCAGCTGCGAGCAGTTCCAGCCGGCCAGCACTCGCAGACCTATGTCTGTTGTTTCCATTCTTTGGTTCAATTCTTTGGGGAAAGAGCCAGCTGTGGAGTTTGCATTTTCATTTTTCATAATTCAAGCATGTGATATCCCCCTGGGGGAGAAAGGGGCCTTCCCCTTGCTCTTCCCCCACGTAGAAAAGCAAGACCGAAGCCATCTTCTTGTCAGTGTTCAGGCTATATGAGCTAGGCTTCTCATTGCCCGAGTTGATTGATGGTTGGTATCACTACAAGCTCTTGAGGACCCCTTTGTGTCGCTTTCAAGTTGTGATTCACCATCATGCCTACAGGGGTTGTTTTGGGCCTGAACCCCTAAAGTTCCTGGCAGGCAGCTCCCCATGGGTCTCCCTGGCTGCGGTGCTCAGAATCTGCTCTAAATTCAAGGCTCAGATGCCTGGGGAGCTGAGAGGTCCCTGCCTCCAGAGGAAGGTTCTGGACCAGTGGTTGTGGCTGAGCAGTGGACAGGCAGGGAAGAAACTGACCAGAAGCATCTGAGCTCTGTGACCCGTAGCGATTGAGACTGAGCAGAGAGTGTGGAGCCCCCGGGCGTGCGGGTACCCAGCACAGTGGCAGCAGGATGGGGTTTGTTTCGGCTTGAGTAATTAGAAGAAAGAGTGAGAAGGTGCCAGGCACAGCTTCTGTGGTTTCTTTTGTCACGGTGGTTCAGGAGCCTTTGCTTGACTGTTCTCTCTCTTCCTTTCCCTTTTTCCACTCTTCTCGGAAGGGCAGGCATCCCCCAGGCCTTTGCTTGTCTCCCTGCTTCCCCGGCCCTTCTCCACCCTCACCCTCCTCCCCGGCCCTGCACTGCCAATTCCATCACTTGAAGGCTAAGCAGGGGCACGTCTCCTCATGCACATGGCAGGCACCTCCATTCCAACCAGCCAGCAGTGGCATCACACATGGCACTCTACACCCACAACCCTTCCGCTTTGGCTCAGTGTGGCCAGGGATGGGCCTTGTCAGTCTGCAGTGCGACTCGTCCTGTGTAAGGCTCAGAACTACTCATCCACACAGATCAGGAGCCTGGGCCAAGCCAACAGCACCCGGCGTGTGTCCTCTGGGCAGCTGGTAACAAACTGGGAGAGCCTCTCTAAGGATGGGTACTTGAGCTAAGTTCAGAGGAAGGAAGCCCAGCCGGGCAGCAGAAAGGGCAGGGGTCATGGCTCCGGGGAGCCCTTGCTTGGGGCGTTAAGAAATAGCTCCAGCCAGCTGGGCATCACAGACAGACAGACCCCTGCCCCAGGGGGATTCTCTTCCGGTGAAAGGCAGATGCAGGGGGCACTTGAAGGAAGGAGAAGAAGTGGGTACCGGGCTGCTGGGGGGAGCCTTCCTGGTGTGGGGTACAGCCAGAGCAAGGCCCCGAGGTGGGATGAGCTGGACGCTGAGGGGTGAAAGAGGGCAGAGCCAGAGAGGCCGGGGCAGGCCCTGAGGGCCGCAGCCAGTGGAGAGCTTCCAGTGGGGGAGACCAAACACGCTCTGGCTTTTGTACTGCCATGCTAAGGGCAGGGAGGGGTGGGGACACAGTGCAGGTTCTGGATGGCATTTGAAGGGAGCTGCACGGCTGGAGCCAGCGTGTCAGGCCTGCTAAGTTTGAGACTTGGCTTATACGTCCAAGTCTGGAGCTGGAGCCGAGAGGCTGTTAGTCGTCAGGTGGAATGGAAGGCTGAGGTCCAGAAGAGAGTACATAGACACAGAGGAGGGGTCCTCGGGTGTCAGGGGATGGGAGAGGAAGAAGGCTGGAGGATTGTGTGGAACACAGAAGTGTGGCAGAGGGAGACCACAGGAGGGCACGAGGTGCAGACATGCAGCAGGGAGCCACCGTGCCTCACTCAGATGAGGTGGGGAGTGCCCCAGCCCAAGCTGACCCTCCTCAGCCTTCGCAGATGCCTCGGCCATGCCCCTAGGGCCATCTTTCCTGAGAGTGCTTTCATTTCTTTTCTTTTTAAATTGTCCTGCAGTAAAACAGGCTTTGGGAGTTCCAGTTCAATCAATTTCCACACAGTCAGGACCTGGGCCAGTTCTGTTGCCTACCAGAAGGTTTGGAGCCAGATGGGGGAGCAACAGAGAGAGCTCAGAAACTCCACCTGGAGAAGGGGCAGGCAGGATGGAGGGCTCTGCTGGTGGGGGATCCCAGGCAGGACATAGCAGCAGCAGTGGAGGTGGGGAGAGTTGGATGTGGAAGATGCTTTTGAGTTAGGGTCAGTCCCATAGGACGCACAGATGTCTGGCAATTGGGTCAGGGGGTCAAAGTGCTGCTAAGCTTTGGCCAGTGCCCTGCACCGGGATGGGAAGGCTGCTGGTGGACAGAGGTCCCTTAGGTATCTGAGGGGGGACACCTGGAAGGCAGCCAGGGGGGAAGTCTGGCAGTCCGGGAAAAAGTGGCGATAATACAGCTGGCAGCTGCAGTATTTATGGTGGTCTGATGGTCCGCAGAGAGCTTTGACAGCCTTGGGAGCAGTAGCGGTGGGGGGAGCGGGGTGTCCTGGGCTGGGAGCAGAGCAGGAGATGGTGCAGGAACCTAAAAAGATGGCAGGGGAGCCCAGGCTGGGGAAGGAGGCCTGGGGCCATGGGGCATCCTTGAGCACCAGGTAGGAGTCCAACCCTCTGGATGGACCTCTCTTAGAAACGTTTGCTGCTTTCCATTGAAATAATCTCCCAGAAATTGACTGCATCCTTCAGTGTTGGATGGGCTGAAAACACTCCATAAGACCAACGCCGAAACATGGTTTAATGGCTCAGGATTAGAATCCAGGGAACACAGAACCTGGAGAAAGCTGCTCACGGTTAGCTGTAACAGACTCACCTGGACGCCAGCCAAGCTTAGCACCCCCAACAGCAGAATGCTGGGCCAGGCTCTGGTGTTAAGCAGCAAATAAGGCAGATACCATCCAGGAAGGGCACGCTGGAGCAGTAGAAGCCGGGCCTGGAGGGAAGGGCTGGCTCCGTGGCCTGGCTGCCCTCTGCCGAGTTGAGCCTGGTGCAGTGAGGCCCCTCAGCGAGGAAAAGGGTGTGGCCAAGGTCACCTGGTGCCAACAACGTCACCCTACACAGCCCTGGGGTCGAGGCCTGCAGCTTTCTGTCCTTTCTGTGACTCAATGGGCATGGGCGGCAGCTGGAGTAGGCGATGCCCCAGATGCTTCCACACTACCGTCTGCACTGGCTGCGAAAACTGAATTCTGTTTCTTTTCATTAAAAATGTCAAGTGATTCTCAATTTCTGTGTTACCTCTAATTCAGACAGCAGTCCAGGGATAAAGGCCCGAGTGAAAAGAACTGGCCATCTGCCATCTGCAGCGGTGGCTTTCCCAAATCCAGAGAAAATCCTAACCAGATTTCAGTTAAGGTGCCAGAAAATTCCAATTTTGTGGAGCTTTTTGGTCACATTTTTTTATTTTAAATAGCAACCGAGTGGGGTATCTCACTCTGTTGCCCAGGCTGGTCTCGAACTTCTGGGCTGAAGCCATCGGCCCACCTCAGCCTCCAGAAATGCTGGATTACAGGCGTGGGCCATGGCACCCGGCCCTGGCTGACTTTGCACCGTGCCTGAGGGCTCAAAGGAAGTCACCAAAGAGAGTGATTCATTGTCTAAACTAGGGGGTAGCTAACTTTTCCTGTGCAGGGCCAGGGAGGAAATATGTTTAGCCTTCCAGGGCTGGTCTCTGCTGCCGTGACACAACTCTGCCCTTACAGCATGAAACTTGAACCAGTAAAACTTTATTAGCCAAAACTAGCAGACAGCTGGGGTTAGCCCAGGAGCAAGCCCTGCACCTTGTCTAAATCCAGAAAACCAAATCCTAGTTAGAACCTTGGCACTGGAAATGCTTCAGAACTCCTGTGTCCACCCGCTCACATAGGGAAGGACAGGCAGGTGCTGGATGAACCCCAGGGTCCACCTGGCAGCTTGACGCTCCATCTGCTGCCCTCTACAGGGATAGCAGTACAAGGTGGGCCAGCTACCATTGGTGGCTGGGCCAATGTTGGCCTGTGCGAGGCCAGGCAGAGGCCTCCCCATCAACTCTTGGCTTCTAAAAGCAGGAGGGAGTCCAGGCTGAGAGGCCAGGGAGCAAAGAAAGGCAACAGGGAGTTGAGTGCATGAGGCAGGGTGGAGAAGCCGGAGGAACGAAGGGTTCATTCTTGGCTCAGTGCCCTGCCGGCCAGTCAGGGGTTTCAGAGGTGCCGTGAACTCAGCTGAGGGTAGACGGCCACTGTGCTAGAGGAGTCTGGGGCATGGCAGGAGCTCTTTCCTGCAGGGAGTTCCACTGATCTGAGGTCTGCAAACTCCCGTGGAAAGGGATGGCCAGGGAACAACACAGAGCAAAGCCCAGAATGTGGGGAGGGGAACGGCAGAGACACAAGTTTCAGACTGTCTGACTGGGAGATGCAGGAGGATGAGGGAAAGGAGAGGACGAGGATGAGGGAAAGGAGAGGACGGGGAAGAGAAGCCAGAGGAGCAGGGGCATCAGATTCAACCAGACCCAATCAGACTCGGGGGCCATGAGGAGGCCACTGAGCAGAGACAGGCTTCAGTGGGTGCAAATCCAAAGTGTGGCCATCTTGGTCTCAGAGTTCTGAGTACTGTGGCCAGGGCAGAGAAGTATGGACAGAGAGGAGAAGGGACAGGGCCAGGTCAGAGCTCTGGGGCACCCAGGGATGTAAGAGAGCAGTGGAGGAGATGGAGCCAGAGCAGCTGGTGAGGTGGAAGAGGGCCTGGCAGGGGCAATGTCAGGAAGCCATGAGAAGTTTCCAGAAAGAGGGATGATCAGCTGTGTTGAGTGACCTGAGGGATAGAATAAGACAAAGATAGAGAAGTGGCCAGTGGACTTAGCCAGGGAGACTCTGGGCATGGCAGGCCGTGGCTCCAGCCATGGGAGCTGGGGATGGAGGCCGGGTCCCTGAAGGAAGACCCATGCGAGAAAGGCGGATGGTGCCCATAAGCTGGGGACTTGCTCATACCAGAAGGTACTTCGGACTTTCTGGTAAGATCAGGAAGAGAGCCCCTCATCAGTGTTCTCTCCTTTTCAAATCATCTTTCTTTTCTACCAAATTGGAATTCAGATTGGGCAGAGACCCCAGAGGCCACAAGAGCCAGTCGTCCCCCCAGGACAGGTAATTGGGAGGTTGCAGCCCAGAGCCTAGTGCAGCACTCTTGAGTTCCAGAATATCTGCCCAGCTCAGCCTAGAGAAAGCCACTGCCACCTTTTCCTGCATGTGAATCGGTTGACCAGACCAAGGCCCACACCTGAAAACCCTTCCCAAAGCCAGGCAGAGCCTCCGACCAATGGGTGGACATTTCTCATGCCAATAATGTGGGTGGAACTTGGCAGCACCAGCCGGCCACTGACTATCTTCCTTCCTTCCTTCCTTCCTTCCTTCCTTCCTTCCTTCCTTCCTTCCTTCCTTCCTTCCACCTTTCCTTTCCTTTCCTTTCCCTTCCCTTCTTCCCCCTCTGCTCACACTCTGTCCCTCCACCTCCCACTCCAGATCCGGGTGGTGAAAGCATTCCGTAGCTCACTCTACGAAGGCCTGGAGAAACCAGAATCCAAGACCTCCATTCACAACTTCATGGCCACGCCTGAGTTTCTGATCAACGACTATACCCACAACATCCCGCTCATCGATGACACGGATGTGGATGAGAACGAGGAGCGCCTCCGGGCCCCCCCGCCCCCGTCCCCCAACCAGAACAACAACGCCATAGACAGTGGCATCTATCTGACCACGCATGTCACCAAGTCAGCTACCTCTTCAGTGTCTCCCTCCAGTCCCAGGAGCTCGCTCCACAGCGTGGAGACGGCCCTCTAATGAGAACTTGTCTCAGCACATGCACACATGCACACTCGGACTCACACGCAGTCACACGCACACACGCACGCACACACAGATAGCGACCGGCACACCTGCAAAACGGGGGAACAATGAAGGTGGCTGAAGAGCCTTCTGGCAGGGCATTTGCTAGAAGCCAAATCCAGTCAACAAGGGTGCAGCCTGCCACAGCCTCCTCATCGGGACAGAGGAAGAGGAGGACAGGGAGGAGGAAAAGGAGGAAGAGGAAGACAAGAAGGGGAGGAGAAGATTCTTCATCCAAAGGAGGAAGGAGAAGTAGAGGGTGCAAAGAGCTGAATTCCCTTTTTCTATTGATGCTTCTTTTTTAACGAACTACAGTTCCACCGCGTGCGTTGGATAAAAGTTGAGTGCTCTGCAGGGCTGTGAAGGGTGCCACCCGAGGGCGCCACCTGCAAGCATCCCTGCAGCCACAAAGCAACCCGTCCCTGGCAAAAACTAGGCACACCTGCAGTGTGCATGTGTGTGTGTGGGTGCACATATATGTGTGTGTGTGGATCTGTACACACACACATATATATGACCAGATGCATATTTCAACAAGGAACTATTCATTGGCATGATCTTTGCATTCCTCTTATCAGGCATTTTCATTTGGAAATTTTATTATTGAACTAGTAAGTTTTTTTTCAGAGAACTAGACTGCAAGAATATCTGGACAATCCATTTTCATCCCTCATCATCCACTCCCACCCTTCGCTCCTGCCCTCTGCCCGGCCCTACTGAGATTCCCAAGGAGAAGGCAGAGAGGGGATGCTCCAGGCCCAGAGCGGGTACGATCGGAGCATTTGCACTGAGACCCCTGCCAGAGAGAAGAAAACCCTTTCAATGGAAGTTCTTACCTAAAAGGAAAACACCAAAGTATTGATGAGAAGGAGCCCTTCAGTTAGTGAGAGGGGAGTTTTGTTTTCACCTTTCTTTGGTTTCTCCAATTCCACGTCTATCATCCTGGCCACGCCCCCAACTTCAAGAGCACAAAGCACTCTTGGAGGTGCGGGTCCTGCCCAGAGTCTAGGGAGCAGCCCCCAGCTGAGCACAGGTCTGAGGGCCCAGGTGCAGGGCCAAGAGTTCGAAAGAAGCCAATGGAGGGAGACGGGCCCTCAGAAGCCCAGAGGAGCTGGCGGTGGGAGAATGATGGCAGGGATGCGGCCACAGTTCAGACCCTGTCCCCTTGGCACCCAGATGGACTCCCACTGTTTGCTCTGGCAAATGCTGAGGAGTGCTCAGTAGATCACCTCAGTGTCTGCTGTTACACCAGAGGCACCACCACCAAAGCACTGTTTCCACCCTACTCTTCACGTCCAGAGGCCAAGCTTCAGCCATGAAGGCATGGATTTGTGGCTGAGCACCAGGTCCTGAGGGGAGCCTATCTTGGCAGAGTGGGCACCTGGTGGGCCAAGCCTCAGTTTCCCCCAAATGAGCAATCACTTGGGAGGGAAGTACAGAGAAGGCAGAGGGAGTAAAGAGGGGCCTGACTTTTGGCACCCTCCCGAGGAAGCCCGTAGGTCCACATAGGCACACCACAGTGACGCCATGGAGGTTGGGCCTGGGGCTCAGCCGCTGGGAGACAGCTGGAAGCTGAGGGACAGAGGTCGGAATGGAAGCCACTGACGTGGACTGGCACATTTGGAAGGCTTGTCTCACCTCCACCGTCCCCACTATTACCATTAATGCCATGTCACCCCTCAGCAGGAGTCAAATCTTGGGCAAAAGAATTTCAGTTAGAAAACAAAATCCCACTTGAAAATGCCAACGGCGGATAACTCAAAGCCATCCTTTTTTCCTAAAGGGCACACTGAGAATGTCACCCATTTGTAAACTGCTCCCTGATGTCCTTGTTGAAACGATAATAAGAAAAAGGATCTTTGTGTTCTTCAACGAGAAATGAAATTTGAGACGCTGAAATTGCAGAAGATACGGCGCGTGCTTCACATTCTCTGTCGTAGACACACCGATAGGACCAATGGCAAACCCTCACTGCTGCTGTAGAAAGTTGTGAATTTCGACTGTTTGGTCCTTAGGTCACCTTTGTGCTGGGGTGTGGAGTTCAGAAACAAGGCATCGTGACCTGGAATCCGTTGCTCATTTCTGCAGTCTTCAGGCTGGGGCCCTGTCTCATTGGCTTGGTCAACTGTGTTGAGTTCATAGATATGTTTTACATTTTTATCTGCCTGTTATAAAGATGAACAAAAAAAATCTCAGTGAGAAAGATCACAGATGCATAATAATTTAAAGTCTGTAGTTGAATTTCCTCAGTTAAAGAATAGACCAAACTTTCTGTGTATATATAAAAAATGAAAGGCTCCTATATCCTGGTCTGGATAACATGTGTGATTTATTATTTGGGGAATTCCTGTGTGGAACAAAACAAAGGTACCTTCATGCCGTTTTAGCAGAGCTGGAGAAGCCACAGGCAGGAGGGGATTTCCCCTGGGTGTGCAGCAGCCTGGCTGGATGCTACGGTGCGAGGCCCCTGGGGGGAGGCGCTCCAGCTGCTGCAGGACTGGAAAGGGCCTGTAGTAGCAGCGCGGCAGCTCAGGCCAGCAATCCCAGCACTTTGGGAAGCTGAGGCAGAAGGATCCTTTGGGCACAGGAGTTTGAGGCTCCCTGACACACATCGCACACTCCTCACTACTTTTATTGTGGCAAAATACACATCTCGTAAAACACACCACACTCACCATGTAAGTGTGCGTCCCGGGCATGAGCACACTCCTGTGCCGTGCAGCCATCTCCGCCATCCAGCCGCAGAACCCGTTCGTCTTCCCCAACTGAAGCTCTGGCCCCGTTCAGCCCAACTCCCCACCCCTCAGCCCCGGGCACCGGCCCTTCCTTCTACTGTCTGTCTCTATGGATTTGACCAGTCTAGGCCCCTCTTAGAAGTGGAATCCTATACTATTTGCCCTTCTGTGGCTAGCATGGAGTCCTCAAGGATCATCTACGTTGGAGCGTGTGCCAGAATTTCCTTTGGAAGGTGAATCCTACCTCCTTGTCTGGACATTTAGCTATGTGGATCATGCTTCGGTGAACATGGGTATGCAAACCACCCTTCCACACCTTGCCTTCCATTCCTTTGGGCCTATACCCAGCAGTGGAATTTCTGGATCCTGTGGGAAATCTAGCTTAACCCAAAGCCACAGGAAGAAAGCCGCCATTTCACTCACTCCCTTAATCCACATGTGTAGGGTCCAGCCCTACAGGGATGTGGGGTGTCCCCTATCGCTGTGCTGAGGTGCTGGATCTGAGAAATAAAGAAGCAAAAACAGAAGGACAAAGAAAGCACAGCTGGGCTCGGGGAGGGGCGGTGGGCATGCCACTTACACTCAGAGACACGTAAGGCCCTGACCGTCCAGGAGCGTATGTATGTATTGGGTATAGGTTCGGAAGCAGGGTAGTGAGTGAGGTGAACTAAGGATAGTGATAGGGTCAAGATAATCACATGAGCAGGAAACAAGGAGGTGGGCTGTGTGCAGTGAAGAGGGCGCAGTGTGCAACATCTCTTATCTAGGGGCAGGCTACTTCTTAAGGAATTCTATAGGAGGATGCTTTGAGTCAGCACAGTAGCTAAAGAGCTGACAGGGTACACAGCCACCTGCTGGCCGCTTCCAGTGATTTCTATAGGAGGATGCTTTGAGTCAGTACACAGCGGCAGGGCTGACAAGGTATACAGCCACCTAGGCGTGATTATACCGGAGGGGTTTAAAGCCCTGGGACACTTGACGCCTTGCCAACCTGAGGCCAGCTTTCCACAAGAACTGGATGCAAGGTACTGTAACTCCGTTTCAATAAGAGTGACTCTTGCTCCAAGCCTGCTATGTAGCGCGTGCCCTTTCAGGCAGAGGCACTGCCGCCTGAGCCATAGATTCTTGTCCTGGTATAACTGTTTTTCCCTTAAATCATGCTCCGCACCATGTCTGCTCTAGACATTCCTCCGACTGTAAGCAAAATATGATTATATGTGTATAGCTGCTTATTCCTTAATTCATACTCTGTACCATGTCTGCTCTATGCATTCCTCTGACTATGAACTAAGGTAGAATTTTAAATATATATAATATGGAAGTAACTGAGTAGTAAGATATTCTTCAGGCACTAATTGTTCTGACTATAAACTAATACATGATTATACATAAAGGATTATATAAAAGAAATAGCTGAGTAGTAACACTATAAACTAAGATATGCTTCAGGCACCAACTGTGCCGGGGATCTGCTTAGCTCTCCTTCCTTGGTGCCCAGATGGGGGTTTGCCCACACACATGCTGCATCCCTGAACAACTGCGCCTGTGCATGCCCATGCCCCATGGTTCCACCCTAGCTTGAGCCCGGAAGATCCAGGAAAGCAATCCTGTAGCCAAGACCTGCCGATAGCCACCCTGGCGAGGCCACTAAGACCACAGCCCCACACTTCATTGGATTTCTCTTTCCCTTCTCAAGTTGGCAGCACCAGAAGATGCATTTTCCAGGAAGGCTGCCAAGAGAGGAGAAAAATGGCTTCAAAGTTACTCAAAGCAGCAGAGCCCATGCTTCTAAAACCGGCGAAAAGACAAATCAGGCTGGGCACAGTGGGTCATGCCTGTAATCCAACACTTTGAGAGGCCGAGGCAGGTGGATCACTTGAGGTCAGGAGTTCAAGACCAGCCTGGTGAACATGGTGAAACCCTGTCTTTACTAAAAACACAAATATTAGCCACGTGTGGTGGCACACACCTGTAATCCCAGCTACTTGTGAGGCCAAGGCAGGAGAATCGATTGAACCCAAGTGGTGGAGGTTGCAGTGAGCTGAGATCACATCACTGCACTCTAGCCTGGGTGACAGAGTGAGATTCTGTCTGAAAAAATAAAAAAAATCGAAAACAGCAGGCAGAAGAATCGCGGCATGCCCTGTGTCCAAGTGCACTCTGAACCATTAAGATGAGTGAGTCCAGACTGAGTCAAAGTCCATGCCAAGACAGAGAGACATCCGGCTATCCCAAAAGAATTGCAAATTTGTGTCTGTGAATCCCCTGTCCACCAGCTTCTGCTATCAAACGTGACAACGGTACCATGGGGGAAATCAATGCTCAGTGAAACAGCTTGGTGAGCTGTTGGTGAGGAAGTCCCCCAACAGCTGAGCCCTGGGAGTAAAGGCTTGTGCAGGGGTCTCAGGGAGGCCCGTGTATGAGTGTCCTGTGGCTGCTCACAACAACAGAAACTTCTCTCACAGTTCTGAAGGCCAGAAGTCCAAAATCAAGACCTTCAGGGGACACTCAGAGTTCCTTGGTTGTAGATGCCTCGCTCCAACCTCTGCCTCTGTCGTCGTATGGCTTTTCTCCCACGTCTGTGTCACCCTGTGCATGTCTGCCTGTGTCTCTCCTCCTCTTTTTTTTTCCATAGCTGAATTAAGAAGCTTCATTCTCACCCACAGGACAATTCTGTCCCCTCAGAGTCCTTTCTTTCTGGAGGTTCAGATGAGAAAATAGATGCTCTTATATGCTTACAGTGACACCTATAGTGTCCCCCGGACTTCCAGAGGTGAACACAAAGCACATGACCCTATCTAGAATCACTGGGCACTAATTTTCTCCACCACAGTGATTACCTGTTATTTCAAGCAACTACTATGTTCCCTATTGGTTTTACATTTTAATATTCCAAAGCAGGTATGGTGGCTCACGCCTGTAATCCCAGAACTTTGGGAGGCCAAGGTGAGAGGATTGCTTGAGTCCAGGAATTTGAGACCAGCCTGGGCAACATAGCAAGGCTTCATCTCTACTAAAAATAAAAAATGAAATTAGCCAGGCATGGTGGAAGGAAGGAAGGAAGGAAGGAAGGAAGGAAGGAAGGAAGGAAGGAAGGAAGGAAAAGGAAAAGGAAAAGAAAGGAAATACATTTAGCACTCCAACAACGAGTGTGTTCTGGAATTAGACCACTTGGCTGTGAAGGCTGGTCCTGTCACCCATGTGATCTTGGGATCTTCAGGTAATTGATACATCCCTTTCCCTGCCTCAGTTACCTCGTGTAGAATAATAATGTCTACCTTGTGGGGCTGTGAGCATCAAGTGCGTTAGTTGATACAAGTAGAAGAGACTTAGAACAGTGCCTCGCAATACGTGTGAGCTACTCGGTAAGTGCAAGTTACTGTTTCCCCATTTTATTGCTGAAGAGCGTGAGTGAGAATCAGAGGCTCGAGAGTCTGTGAACAGACAAGATTGGCATAGATGACAGATGGCTCCTTAACATCACCAACTTCTTCACCATCAGTGTCATCTGTCATAGGGATAGCGAGGTAGCACTTGGGAGGCAAGTGGTGGCATGTGCCTGTAATCCCAGCTACTCAGGAAGCTAAGGCAGGAGAATCACTTGAAACAGGGAGTTGGAGGTTGCAGAGAGCTGAGATTCCGCCACTGGACTCCAGCCTGGTGACAGAGCAAGACTCCATCTCAAAAAAACAAAACAAAACAAAAACAAAAAAAACCCTAACCCAACATCATGAAGCATCTCCCCTACGTTTTCTTCCAGTAGTTTCCTAGCTTCAGGTTTTGCATTTAAGCCTTTATTTCATCTTGAGTTGATGTCTGTGTATGGTAGGAGGGAGGAGGCTAGTCTCATTCTTCTGCATGTGGATATCCCATTTCCCCAGCACCATTTCTTAATGAGACTGTCCTGTGCTCACTGTGTCTTCTTGGCACCTTTGTTGAAAATCAGTTGGCTGTAGGTGCATGCATTTTAATTGCTGGGCTTTCTATTCTGTGTGACATACTGTTTTGATGATGCCTCCAGATGGCTTTGACTATTTGTGGTTCCATGTGAACTTCAGGATTTTTTTCTGTTTATGAAAAATGTTGTGGTAATTTGGATAGGGACTGTATTAAATCTGTACAATGCTTTGGGTAGCAGGGCCTTTTTTTTTTTTTTAACATAGATTTTCACTCTGTGGCCAAGGCTGGAGTACAGTGGTGTGATCTCAGATCACTGCCACTTCTGCCTCCCAGGTTCAAGTGATTCTCCTGCCTCAGCCTCTCCAAGTAGCTGGCATCACAGGCAGCCACCATCACTTGGGCTCATTTTTGTATTTTAGTAGAGACAGGGGGTCACCATGCTGTCCAGGCTGGTCTCAAACTTCTAACTTCAAGCAATGCAGCCATGTCGGCCTCCCAAAAGTGCTGGGATTACAGATGTGAGCCGCCACGCCCAGCCATCAGGGGCATTTTTACCATATTAATTCTTCTGAGCCCTTCTCACTACCACACTACACATCTCATTGTTTCTCATCTCTCCCTCCACATAAGCAAGGAGTTTCACCTGGCTACCAGAGCTTAGGCAAGGATGGGGCACAGAAGGGCTGCTCGATAAATGTGGTTCTATGACTGATTAGTCCTAAAAAGCTTTGAACAGGTAAAGCAGGAGCCCACACTAAGAAGTTAATCATGAAAACCCACAACAAAGGCCAGGTCAGTTGCAGCAAGCCTGCCCACTAGGGAGGCCTGACATCTGCTCGGATTCTTCACCGAGGACACTGAACACAGTCACTCTGTAAGCAGACCTCTGCCCTGACCTCCATCACTGCAGCCCCCACACCTGCAGGCACCAGAGTCCACCCTGTGTATACCCAGTCCCTGGCCCTACACCACATGCTGAACATGGGTCTAGCCTGAAGGGGGTCCCAGAGTGTGCCTCCTCATCTATTTTTTTTACCCACCCGCTTTTGAGCAGGGAATCAGAGGGGTGCCAAAGGCCACAGCTCTGAGTTTCTCCAGCCTCCCCATCCAGACTAGCTGCCTTGACATTTTTAAATGCACTACTTTTAGTTACATTCAATCAGGTCTCACTTTTCTGAATGCAAGTGACCCTCCGTCACCCCAGGCCACTCTACCTGAGAGCACTCCAAGGGAAACAGAACGAGGCCAAGGGTCTGTTGATTAATATCACATTTTATTACACAAAATACATTTGATCCTTGTTGCACATTCATTCTCGCTATAAAAAATCCCTAGGGATTCAGTCTCATCTACTTCATTGACGTCATGCCTCTATTGTAGTCAGAGTCCTCTCAAAGGACAAAAGCAGATGAGGCTGCCTTGGGTCAGCTGCGCACAGTGCGCTCCTGGCCTGCCCGCGGGAGGCGCGGTTCCCATCATCATCACCGCGACTGCTAGGTACTGTCAAAGCGGCAGTATGGCATCGCCTTCACCAGCCCTTCTCCAGCAGCACAACCAGTCCTCCCAGCTGGTCCTCTGGGGAACAGCCATCATGGCGACGTGGTGGCAGTGTCCCCAGGCAGCTGACCATCCTGGGCTTCTCTTTGGGCAGGCCTGGCCCAAGGCCTTAGGGGATCTCTGTGTCCATGGCATAAATCTGAATGAGATCAGACACAATATTATCAATGATTGGCTTGGTAAGGTCGTCACTAAATACCTAGAAAGAAGAAGGAAAACAGGTTCCAGTTAGACTCCCTGTGTTAAATAAGGCACCGGTCACTAAGCACAGAATCACATTTCATGGGCAGAGGAGGGGTACAGGGACTTGGCTATCCAGTAAGATGGTAGCTCTTCTGCAAAGCCAGTTCAGTTCCAGCCTGTTGAGGCCAAACACTTTACAAAGCCGAGAACATTCCAGATGGAACAGGCCTTGGTGATCCTCTGACCCAGACAGGAGGGGACCTGTCCAAGGTTGTACAGGTAACTGGTAACACAGCTGGGCCCAGAGCACAGGCTCCTGCCTCCTGCCTGGGACTCCCTCAGGTCCAGGGTCTCTGGGGACACTGGCAAGAGAGGATAGCAGTCCCTGAGCAGCCACAGGCAAGCTAAGTACCTGGACCCCATGCCCACCCTATCCCAGCCACTGGGGAGCACATGGTCCTGCTCCACACCAGGACCAGCCACCTGAACCACCACGTGCAGGAGCACTCGCAAGATGGCAAAGGACATCATCCTCGAGGCCCATGGCAGGAAGGCTGAAGCCCAGGGCCATGCCATGGGCTGGGGTCCACACCCTGCAACTTCCAAAGGCAGGTCTGGCCTCTGCCCAGCTCCTGGAGGATAACATCTAGGCCCCTAGAAAATCCTGCCCGGCGTGAGCATCTTGGTTTACTGGACTGCCAAGCAGCCTGTGCTAACCACATCATTTATGGTGAAGGCCCTGGGCCACAGAGTCCCAGCTGGACAGGGACAGCCCAAGTGGCCAGGGTTGGCCACACAGGCATTCCATGACTATATGACCCACCCCCATTAGAAACCCTGGCCACCACAGCTGGGGTGAGCTTCCCCAGTTGTGACTCTGTGCACACTGCCCCACATCTTTGCTGAGAGAAACAGCTAGTGTCTGCACAAGTCCCTGGGTGAGGAGCCACAGAAGCCCATATCTGGTCTCTCCTGGACCCCACCCTGTGCACCCTGAGCCTTCGCTGACTGTAACCTGTGTCCTTTCCTTGTAATAAACCGAAACTGGGAGTGTGACGGCTTTTCTCAATTCTGAGCCCTCCCAGCACAGCACTGAGCCCCAGGTGCTCTTAGGGATCCCCAATGATAAGGGAAATAGTAAGCAAAGCAGCAAGACGCTAGGGCTTGGCCAAGTCAAGGCAAGAACTGGACCTACATCCACCCCCAATGAATGCCCCTCAAAAACCCTAGGCTACTCTGTGGCCTACAACCTCAGGTAGGAGATGGTGGCCTGGACACCCTCCAAGTCCTGACTCAGGAAGCACAGCTGTCTCACCCTGAGTTCTGGGTGAAAAACAAATACTTCAGAAATGCACACCTGCTCGCTGGGGTCCGTGACCTGTGTGCTCCTGCAGACCCCAAGCTCAGAAACAATCATTAAAAAGCATTCAGGGGCCAGGCATGGTAGCTCATACCTGTAATCCCGGCACTTTCGGAAGCCAAAGCAGGTGGGTCACTAGAGGTCAGGAGTTCAAGACCAGCCTGGCCAACATAATGAAACCCTGTCTTACTGAAACTACAAAAATTAGCCAGGCGTGGTGGCAGGTGCCTGTAATCCCAGTTACTCGGGAGGCTGAGGCAGGAGAATCACTTGAACCAGGGAGGCAGAGGCTGTAGTGAGCTGAGATGGCACCAGTGCACTCCAGCCTGGGTGACACACTGAGACTCTGACTCAAAAAAAAAAAAAAAAAAAAAGCAGGACCAAAAGGTGGAAGCAGCCTGTGTCCATCGATGGATGAATATGTTAATATCAGATGGTCCATGCAGGCCAAGAAAAGGAAGGCCATTCTGAGGCGGGCTCCCACACGGCTGACCCTCGAGGACATGGGACTCAGTGAAAGGAGCCAGTCACAGAGAGGCCGGCACCGTAGGATTCCACTCCTGCGAGGGGCCTCATGGGAGAGCCGCGAACTCCTGGGGGATGGGCAGTAGAAGGGCAGGAGCCCTGGCTGAGGGGTGGGGAGTCCGGCTGAAAGGGGCCAGAGCTTCAGTTGGGGAAGATAAACAGGTTCTGCGGCTGGATGGCGGAGATGGCTGCACGGCACAGGAGTGTGCTCATGCCCGGGACGCACACTTACACATGGTGAGCGTGGTGTGTTTCATGTGATGCATATGTCACAATTAAATATAACAGTCCAGAACAGGTGACAACGCTGGGACACCTGACAACAGAAGGGACACAGCCCCAAGTCCTAGGAAGAGACACTGCTCTCCTCTTGGGACTTAACTCAGCCTTTTTGGGGATATCAACCTCCTCCGCACAGATGGCCCATCTGTTTGTAAGACAAAGAGCAGCAGTGGCTGGAAAGAGGCAGGTTCTCCATCTGCTCAGGAACAAGGAGAAGTATGTCTCTGGATGCAGAAGTTTCAGCAACACTGTGTGATGACCTGTGGCATTTCTGACCCCGCCACAGTCCCTGCTCGTCTGCAGGGAAGCACATCAAACTGCCATGCTGAGTCCACAGCAGGCAAGTGACAGAAGAGAGCTCACAGGAAGAAAGGCTTTCAAAAAGCAGGCTGCAAGCTTCGAAGCACCTGGATGGGGGAGGCCTCCCAGGATCCTGTTCATCACACCCCCAGCTCATAGGATGTGCCTAGACTCCGGAAGCTCCTGGTGCACAGCCCCGAGCTGTGAAGCAAAGGTCAGATCAAGTTTAGCAGCCTTTCAGAAGAAGAGCTGGGTGAACACAAGCTTGCCACCCCAAAAAGGGTAACTTCTTCCCGGTCTGAACAATTACTGGGTGAGTCTGGGCCACCATAAAACAACTTCCTGGTGGAGCTGCTTCCTGGCTGAGCATGGGACACAGGTGCTACCGGCACACCAGGTGAGGCTCATGAGCAAGTGCAGAAGACAGAGTAGAAAGGAAGAGAGCAGTCAGGCAGCCCAGGGCCAGGGCCACATCTGCCAAATGTCCTCAGAGAGCGTCTGCCCCCACTGGAGTCCAACAGAGAGCGTGAAGCAGCCACGTTAATCTGGAAGTCCCTGAGGAGCCTGAGCATGGAGCAATACTGTCAGTTCACACGGATGGCCCTGCACCACCTGCACACTGCCACAAGGACAGGGTGTCTCCAGCCTGAGACCGGGACCACGGGTGCTTGGGTTCAAAGGCACATGAGCACGTGCTATGGTGCCAGGGAGGCGCGGGAGATATGGTGGCACGAGGTAGACGAGATTCCTGGCCTCAGGCGCTCACAATTGACTGGGGGTATGGGATCAGATACAGGGGCCAGGGAAGAGAGCGTATCAGGACAGGGGCACCTCTATGCAGAACAGCACCTGGCGACATCTCAGTGGAAGCCGGCGCTGCTTTTTGACATCCGGGAGCCCTAAACGGCAACTGTGCCAATGGGGTAGCTACCATCCCAGGCCATCACAGCAAGATACTTTCAAGCTTCCATGCTCCCCAACAGCCCACATCTTTCTTCATGGATAATTGATAGAAAGAATTTGGTGAACACTGCAATACAGAGACTTCCAGAAGGAAAGGGGGCACGTCCAGTGCACCAAGCGGCCATCTCACCTGCCACCATGGCTTCTCAGCCTCGACCTCAGCAGGTACCTCGACTCCATAGACCTGCAGGGCCAGGTAGAGCACTGCCACGGCTATGTGCTGGGCCTGGAAGCGGAGGCACAGCCCCCCGTGGTAGCTGTCCCGAAGCAGGGCCCAGGCAGTGACGGCAACAGGAGTCCGCTGCCAGCTGTGGCGGTTCAGCCAGTTCTTGAAGGAAACCAGGTAGTGGAGCAGGTACTGCAAAGACATGTGCGTTAGCCTTCAGGCTTGCTACTGCACTGAGGCCTCCCACCCGTCGTCAGTTGCTCTCCCCACGCTGACACAATCACATCAGCACCTGCTCCAATCCTCCAGCAACTTCCATGTCACATAGGAAGAGGCCCCATCTCCCGCCCCTCCCACCCCGCCTTCCAGTGTACTCCATCTAGGGCCTTTGCAGAGCCCTCTGCCTGAAATCTCTCACCCCACGTACCTGCCCACTCTCATCCTCCAGGCCCAGCTCTAGTGAAATCTACCAGGGCTGACCCCACCGCCATCCCTTTCCACCACAGGGCCCGCTCTGGCCACCATGAAATCCCACGGGGCCTGGTGCTCGAGTACCCTCCTCATGGGCAGGACAGAAGGTGCTGCTCCCCATGAATCTGGCCTGCTGTCAACGGCACTTGCTGTCCTTGGCCACAACACCCAGATGACCTCCCAGCCCAGCTGCCAGCTCCTGCTCTCAGAGTACAGATGTTCTGCCAGAACCTCACGCACTAAGCAAGCTGCCGCAAGCTCTCTGGACAGACTGGAAAACACGTGTGTGCAACCTCAGCACGCTGTGCAAGAGGGACGCATCCGTAACTGTCCGCCCTAGCCCTGACTGGAGGGAGGGGAAGGGGCTGGCAGGCTCTTGGTTCCCAACCCAGGCACAGATCACACAGCCCCCAAGATCTAAGTGCTGCTCTTTCCTAAGCCTTATCGCCTTGACAACTCCAACCTGCAGCCATCAGCGCATCTCCACCTTCCCCCAGGATGCTGACCAAGCATTCTGCCCACTAAGACACTACTGTGCAGAAATCCTGGATCAGGGCTTTCCAGAAACTAAGGCAGGAGTGTGGAAGGCTGGAGGAAGATTAGAAAGGCGACACGACAAACCCGTGCAGGAGGAACTGTCTCTCACCTTGGCTGTGGTGGTGGGTCCATGAGCAGAGTCATGATAAAATGGAACAGAAAAAAAATACACGCACGAGTACAAGTGGAGGTGGGGACGCCAGTGGACTGTGTCGATGCTGACATCCTGGCTGTGTCCCCCTGGGGAAGACTGGGCCTAGGGTTACATGTCACAACTGCGTGGGAATCTACAATGATCTCAGTCAGAGTTTTGATGAAAAAGAATGCAACTCCTAGCCCAGAGCCCCAAACCTCAACTCTTCCATCTCTCTCTCCCGCCATCTGTCTGAGCTGCCTGCACGTGGGGCTGCAGGGCCCAGAGCATCGACTACCAGTGCGCCTAAGGGTTCCACTTTTCCCTTTTGCTGCTGTTTGAAATGGTTCTTCTGTTGAGAAGTTAAAAGCAATCTGGCTTTCCCCATGGCTCTGAGGCATCACAGCATCTCATGGGGATGGGGACTCTGGCCAGTCACAAAACTAGCCTGCTTCCCTGAGGCTCAGCAGGCACACCGTCTAGATGGGCCACAGGAGCTGTCACAGCTTCAGTGGGCTGCACGGACCCCGTCCACAGGTGAGCAGGCAAAAAGGCAGAAGGTGAAATGAGAACTGGCTGAGAAAACCCACAGGAGTGAGACAGGAGAGGCCGGCCAAGCCAGCCACAAAGCATGGAGCCGGAAGACCCAGTTCCCAGCCGCAGCCCTGCTCTCCTTCTGTGCTATGCTGTTGTATGACATGGGATGCACGTTCATGATAAAGAACAAAGACCATGGCTCGAGCCTCTCGGAACAGGCACCAATTCCCCAGCATGTACCTTGTGTGGATGCTGGAAGGAGACCTGGAAGCGCAGAACTCTCAGCACGAGAAGCTCGCACTGCACAATGCTGTCTCGGAGCTCCCAGAAGCGGGAGTCCAACTCCAGGGGCTCACCGCTTGGGTCAAGGTACCTGTGCAGAGAAACGGCCCAAACTGCTTAAGTCACATGACGTCCAGATGCAAACTACATTGTCCACGTGCAGTAGATGTGTTTTTATATAATCCTCATCTCCATGTCTACTGTACAGAATGCAAACAGTAACCCGCAGAGGAAGCTCCTAGTTTTGGCCGGATGGGCCGTCCACTATCATTCAGCAAAACGTCAGGTGCAAAGACTGGCTGTCGGTAATGGCTCCAGAGGAACCAGAAGACTGAGCATGCCAAGTCGTTGTACCTCCTGTTGCACTCCACCTGGCATTAGGTAGTCTTCATCACCTGAGGTGGCAATGCCCAGGGCTCTCACTCTGGGCCCAGGGAACTTTTTTAAAATTATTTTTATTTTTTATTTTTTGAGACAGGGTCTCACTCTGTCTTTCAGGCTGGAGTACAGTGGTGTAGTCACAGCTCACCACAGCCTTGACCTCCTGGGCTCAACCAATCCTCCTGTCTCAGCCTTCCGAGTAGCTGGAACCACAGGCGTGCGCCACCACGCCCAGCTAATTTTTGTATGTTTGGTAGAGATGAGGTTTCACCATGTTGACCAGGCTGATCTTGAACTCCTGGGCCCAAGCAATCTACCCACCTCAGCCTCCCAAAGTGCTGGGATTACAGGCGTGAGCCACCACACCCGGCCGTCCAAGGAATGTATTTAAGCATCTCATGGAAATGACATACTCCAAAAAGTGAACATTTCTCACTTTTATATTAACCAGACTGACTATCTTTCCTTCCTTCCAGATCTTTCTGTCATGCTTATACTGTAAACGTCCACTACCTTCCTACCTACGCAAGATTCCCTGTGAGGGTTGTGAACAGGATTCCCATTCAAGCCATGAAAACTCTCTGCCAACAACTTATCCCTCCAGCGGCTCACTCATTTCTGATTTCCCACAGGAGCCCGGCCCATGTCCATGTCTAACTAGAGCTCCACAGGACGTCCCTCTCCTGCTCCTCCCTGCTGAGGTGCCCTCCAGTGGCGCCCCGCCTGTCTTTGCCTCCATCACTCATGTGCACTGTGGACCTGCCATGCTCAGGAGGTGGGGAGTGCTTTTACCATTACCTGTTTCTTGACAAAGAAGTAGAACAGAATCATTTTCTTTCGTAACGATTAGAGTTCCTGGAAAGACTCATGACACACGGCCAGTCAGTAACTTTCCACAGACCACACAGCTTGCTCCTGGACTCCTGAGCCTTGGTGAAGACCCTGCATCCTGCCCCAGCAGAAATACACCTGCTTGGTCCAGCTGTGCCATGCCCATGCCCATGCCCACAGCAGAGCGAGGCTCCTTGAGCAACTGGCTGGGTCCACACCCTCCCACTGCAGGCAAGCTCGAAGACTTCAACAGAATCTTCTTTGACACGCCTCTCCAAGCTCCCTCTGCTCAAGCCCTGCCTCTAGCCTCCATCCAGCTTTCCAGACTCCCCATAATCTGGCCCAGCTTCTCTCTCACAAACCCCATTGGCCTCTGACATCACGCTCCTTCCCATGTTTGCTGCTAGTGTTTCCGGCCCTGGTTCAAGGACATCTAGGTACTTCCAAGCTCCATCGCTGGCACCTGCTGGGCAGGGCCCCATGAGAGCCTTCCCTGCCCTTCCCCATAGGTAGACACCAGGAGGCCCACCCAAATGCCTCGGCCTGAAAGCCATTACCTGTTGGACACATTGATGATATCACGGGTCCGCAGATGCTGCTCTTCCACTTTGCCAGCCAGGTAAATGGAAGACATGGCGACCAAGTAAGGGTCATAGGCATCCAGGCTGCTCTCACAGAAGAACTTATGGTAAATGGTGCAAGCAGTGGCAATGGGAATGGACCGCATCCCCAGCTTGACACCTGCAGAGAGAAAGCAGGCAAGAGAGGACTTCAGTCCAGTGCTGGCTCACTGCTCCGGTGAGGCAACTGGAATGGGCCCTAGCGGGCATGGCCCTGCTTGGACAAGGCTAAGAGCTGCCACCAGAGCTGGTGGCTCCTGAGCCTCTCGCTGGATTCTCAGACTCTAATGGGCAACCAAAGCCCCTGGGGATGGTGTTCAAATGCAGACCCGTCTTCTGTAGGCCTGCAGCTCTGAGATTCTGCACTTCTGACAAGCCCTGAGTCATGCCTATGTCAGGGGTCTGTAGACGACGCTCTGAGAAACAAGGGTTCCGAGTACTGCTCAGTTAGCAACTGGTAAGGCAGCTTCTGCAAAATCCTGGGAAAGGACCACAAGCTGTTGAGTGTCTGGGTTCATCTTAGTAAGCAGTCAGCTGGAGGTCGCCCAACCCACAGCTACGATGACAGAAGGGCAATGGCCTCATGGGTGCCACAAGTCCCAAAGTCACAGTGAAAGGTTATACTGAGCACTGGTGTCCGAGTCCACAGGTTAGAAGAGGCGAGCAAAGCAAGCAGGGTGACTGCCAAGAGTAACCACCTGCATTGCAGAGAAAAGGCCATGTTTCCGGCCACGGCCAGGCACCAGGGAAGGACAGCGACACATTAAACAGTGGGCCAGGGATGCTGGCTTATGCCTGTAATCCCAGCACTTGGGGAGGCTGAGGCAGCAGGACTCCTCGAGCCCAGGAATTCGAGACCAGCCTGGGCAACAGCGTGAGACCCTGTCTCTACAACAAAAAAGAAAGAACACAATTTTTAAGGTGAACAAAACTCAAACACCAGAGCACGACTCACTGGATTCACCTAGGGCTTAAAAGCGCATCCCCAGTACATCCGTTAACAGCTCCTAAGAAAACACCAAAACAAGTTCACAACAACCAGGGTTCACAAGAGAAGGTTAAATGACATCCACTAGATTGAAAGAAGAAGGTGGAGAACAACCCGCAATCGCCCAGCATCTTCTTCCTAAGAGGGCGGATTAGCTCCCTAGGGCTACTGCAACACATCACCACAAATTCAGCCACTTCAACCACACACATTTATACTCTTCCGATCCTGGAGGTCAAAAGTCTAGCACAAGCCTAGAGGGCTAAGATCAATGCCCCAACCGGACTGGCTCGTTCTGGAGGCTCCATGGGTTCTGGAGGCTCCGTGGGAGAATCTGCTTTCTTGCCTTTTCTAGTTTCTGGAGGAGGCCTGCATTCCTTGGTTGCCGGCCCTTTCCTCCACTGCTTCTAACTCTGCTTCTGTCCTCACGTGGCCTTCTTTGTAACTCCTGCCTTTCTCTGATAAGGATGGAGGTGGTTACGCCGGGCCCACCCAGATCATCTAGGATAATCTTCCATCTCAAAGTCTAATCACATCTTCAAAGTCTCTTTTGCTACATAACATGATATTAAGAGGTTCCAGCATTTAGTCTCCTACAAAGAACAAACGTTTGTGCAATACATTTTATAAAGAAGTCCCTCAGAAGGTGTAAAATTGTTGTATATTGGTAACTCCCATCTGGGACCTCTCATTCCAGGATACCCCAGGTAAGTTGCTGTTACTGACATGACCTTCCAAGCCTTGTTTTTACAGAGCAAACCCCAGTTTACATGGAGCCTCCGAGCAGATGACGGGAGCAGATGAGGCATCACTGCCATCCTTCCCTAATACACTTTGCAACTCTTCTTGCAAATTACAGTAAATGTACATGTTACTGGGATGAACAGTTCTGCGGCATTCCTCCGACTCTCTGCCCACCTTAACCAGAAAGCACATCTGTCCAACCCTTCTTCCCCAAACAGTGCACAAAAGGCAGTAAAGGTAGGAAATAATCGTCTGCCAGCTAACAGTATCTCCTATCAAGATACTATTGATGGGCCAGGCGACGTGGTTCAAGTCTGTAATCCCAGCACTTTGGGAGGCCAAGAGGGTGGATTACCTGACGTCAGGAGTTGAAGATCATCTTGGCCAACATGGTGAAACCATCTCTACTAAAAATACGAACATTAGCCGGGCATGGTGGCACACGCCTGTAGTCTCAGCTAGTCAGGGAGCTGAGGCAGTACTGCTTGAACCCGTGAGGCAGAGGCTGCAGTTGGCCAAGATCGCGCCACTGCACTCCAGCCTGGCCTCTAGAGCAGGACCTTGTCTTAAAAAAAAAAAAAATACCGTTGATGGAATGATGGAAACAATGTTTCTGCAGAGATCCTGGCTTAATCACCTTGCCTGGGAAGCGCTGCGCCAGACACTATTGTGGATGCCCCAGCAGGGTGCTGAACAAGCAGCCTAGGTACTCCGAGTGACAGGAACTCCGGGACAGCGTGCTCCAAATGGCTCCGCGCGACCGAGCGCCAAAAAGTCTCCCGGAATGCAGGGCCGCGGGTGCCGCAGAAGGCGTGGCGAAAAGCGCAGAGCTGCGGGCGCCCGGGCCGGTTCCCGCCTCGCTGGAGACCCGACCCTGCCACGTATTCTCCTAGGGCCTGCACACCAGTCCGTGCAATGGGGACACCTTGCGGCTCGCGACCCAGCACACCGGGCGCGGCGCAAGGGCCTCCCAGCCTCCGCTTCGGTAAGCATTCCGGCAGGCCGGCCTGGCCATCCGCGCCCGCTCCGCGAAGGGGACCCGGCGCCGCTTGCCCCCGCTTCCTCCAGCACGCACCCGGCAGCGGTTACCTGCCTCCATGATGAACCTCGCCACTCGGAAGTGCACTCTGGCTTCGGGCGCCGGCCGTCCCTCGGGGCCCCGCGCTACGGGTCCCCGTCCGCCGCCCTCCGGGCCTTCCATGAGGCCCCGCGGCCCCGGCGGAAGGAAAAGCGGCCCCGACGCGCAGAGACCGGCAGAGCGGGGGTGGGGGTGTACTAGCGCACTCTGGAAGTGCACTCTGGCTTCGGGCGCGGCCGCGCCACCCCGCCACGTCCCGCCGCTCCCCAGTCCCGCCCCTCAAGGCCCGTACCCCAGGGTGAGCGCGCGCCTGCGCCAGAAAAGCTGCCGCGCCGCGTGCGCAGGCGCCGGCGCAGGCGCAGAGGCCAACACCGCCGAGCGGCCCGCGAGGGTCCACCGGCCACTGGACGCCTCTGGCCCCGCCCCTGGGAGGCTCAGGCTCCTCCCCCAGGAGCGGGACCCCGTGAAGCAGCTCTGAGTGCCGCGAGAGGGCACCTCCGGTCACCCGAGCCGCAAATCCCCGCGATCAGAAAATGTCTTTGGTGAAGCGTGGCTTTGGCCAGGGACAGTCGGCAGCGCCCACCAAGCCCTGGGCAACGAGGACGCCTGCGGGAGGCAGGTTAACATGGAGGCGCCGGTGTCTGAGGTTTGAGTACGCAGCGGCCACCGGAAAAGCTGCTAGTGTTTGCGAACCCCGATCCACCGACGCCTCAAGGAAATGCTGTGAATGGACGCGTGAAGGAAGGGTGTTTGTCTCTGGGTCGTCCAGCCTCCCGGGATCGGCTGGGAATCTAGCTTCTGCCAGCCTTTCCAGCCCGACGCACAGTAGGAGCCTAAAAATGTTTGTGGGATGAATGTTGAATTTCAGACTCATGTATTTACCATCCCACTTTTCATTCATGTCTTCCACAAGCAGGAAATGGTGCATCATGTTCCTTTAGGGACATGGAACCCCAAAGGGACTCCCAAGCTACTGACAATCACTTGAGTCATTCTAATACATTCAGATCACTGCTCCTTCCTCAGCACCCCCTGCTTCCACCACACTCCCCAAGTCCTCTCTCCATCCCAGCTGGGTTAGTTTCCTGGGGCTACTGTAACAAATGACCTCAAATTGGGTGGTTAAAAACAATAGAAATATATCCTCTCCGGATTCTGGAGGCCAGACCCCTGCGATGGAGGTGAGAGCAGGGCTTTGCTTGCTGTTCCAGCTTCTGTAGCTTTGTCACCTCAGTCTCCGCCTCCACATGGCGTTCTCCCTGTCTTCTGTTTCTTATAAGCACAACTGTCACTGGATTAAGGCTCACCTAGATAATCCAGGAGGAGCTCATCTCAACATCCTTATCTTCATTGCATCTTGCAGAGGCCCTTTTGCTAAATAAGGTCACAGTCACAGGGATTAGGACACAGACACACCTTTTGGTGGCTGCCATTCAGCCCACAATACCAACCGCCAGAGCAAGTTTTCTAAAAGGCAAGGCTGAACAGTGCCTGCCCTGCCTGACACCCTCCAGAGTCCCTTCATCTTCAGGAGAAAATGTGACGTCTCGGCCTCACATGCTGGTCCTTGCAGAGTCACCTTATCAACTGACCAGCCTCAGATCTCACCACTTTGCCACTCATGGTGGAGGCCTTCGGCAGATCCCTCAAAGCTGGTCTCCCAGCTGAAAGTCTCTGCACATATTCTGCCTCGTGAAGGAATTACTACTCCACTTCCATCACCCAGCTTGCTCTTGTCTGCACGTGCACGGGTGTGCACATGTGTGTGCATATGTGTGTGTGTGTGGACAGACCCAGGGGCCTGCTGCTAACATCTGCCATGCGTTGAGCACTGTGTCTGTCCCCAAGCTGTGAGCAGCCCCACCCTCTCCCCAGCCCAAGGACCAGCCACAGCTAGATCCGGAAGGCTCAAATCCACGTTCCCTGCTGCCTCTCAGCTTCCCCCTACCACCACATCTGTGCACACTACACACACACACCCCTATGCACATGCACACATGTGCATCATGCATTCCCCTCACATACATACATGCACATGTACACACACACATATGCGAGCACCACAAATCATACAGTGCTTCCCTCTGGCCCCTGGCCTGGTGGCCTGCCTGTCCTCTAGGCACAGCCCGAACTCCTCCTTCTCCTCTGAGCCTCATGTACTGAGAAGAGTCCAGGCTAAACAAGTAAAAGTCACCTGGGAATGTGAGCCGAGAGAATGACTCAATGAACACATGAATTTTTAAAGCCCTGGGTCACAGGGCAACCTCCTGGCAGGCACCTCAGCACAGTGGTTGATAAATGCATAATTCACTAGCCACCAACTGGAGCCAGCAAACCTTTAGGCAGCACCTCCACTCCCACTTTCAAGGCTGTCCCCATGGTACCAAACGTGGCATCCCCCATCTCATCGGCCCTGGCTCAGATGGTAAGCTCCTTGAGGGCTGAAGCCTGGTTCTCAACCCCAGGCTCAGCCCAAAGAAGAGGTACCATCAAGGCAGGGAACAGTCACCATCAGAAGCGAGACTGTAATATTTGCCAGTGCTTCCTTAGCTAATCCTCACCATGTGCCCCTACACTGATGAGATCATACCCTCCCTTCACAATAGCACTATTATGGAAAAGAGCAAGGAACAGGGCTCAGGCGGAAGCTCCGAGGGTGAGGCAGAGAAACAGGGAAGAGGCATTTCGGGTACAGAGGAAAGGCTGTGCACGGGCAGGGCCTGTGGTCTCCAAAAAGCAGGGGCAGAGCCAGGCATGGTGCTTCATGCCTGTAATCACAGCACTTTGGGAGGCCGAGGCAGGCAGATCACCTGAGGTCAAGAGTTCGAGACCAGCCTGACCATTTTTGTAGGTGATGGTCCTCAATGTAGAGATTCTGTCATATCACTGGGAGTTGTCAAACCTCTTCTGTCCTTCGTCAGTCCCTCCATTCCCATCACCTTCCTTCAGAACATCACATGGGTCATTGTGACGGAGAAACCCCATCTTTACTAAAAATACGTAATTAGCGGGGCATGGTGGCACATGCCTGTAATGCCAGCTACTCGGGAGGCTGAGGCAGGGGATTTGCTGGAACTCGGGAGGCAGAGGTTTCGGTGAGCAGCTGAGATCGTGCCATTGCACTCCAGCCTGGGCAACAAGACTGAAACTTCCTCTCAAAAACAAAACAAAACAAAATGCAGGGACAATTTCCAAAGCACCTGCCCTGCCCTGGTCTTCATCCTGGCAGCCTCATCAATGTCCAGGCCCACCACTTGTCCTTAGAAACTCCTCAACACCTGGGAACTTCATGCCACAGTCACCTCTCCCCCTGTCCACAGTGCTCCAGCCCAGCTCCCTCTCCCCATCAGCAAGATTCACAGCCTCCATCTCTGTTCTGCCTCCTCGTTCCCCACTGCCTACTCACCCTTCATCTTTATTACTATTATTATTATCATTATTTTATTTTACTTTTGACAAAGAGTCTCACACTGTCACCCAGGCTGGAGTGCAATGGCACCATCTCAGCTCACTGCCACCTCCGCCTTCTGGGTTCAAGCGATTCTCCTGCCTTAGCCTCCTGAGTAGCTGGGATTACAGGCCAGGCGTGCACCACCACGCCTGGTGAGTTTTTCGTATTTTTAGTAGAGATGGGGTTTCACCATATTGGTCAGGCTGGTCTTGAACTCCTGACCTCAGGTGATTTGCCCGCCTCAGCCTCCCAAAGTGCTGGGATTACAGGTGTGAGACACCACGCCTGGTCAGATTATAACTTTTTGGTGAATATACTGCCTGGTGTTATTTTCCTTTTCAGAGATTCGAGTACACACGAGCTCAGTGGAGCAATGCTCTGAGCATTGTGACCGAGTCAGACCTCAGGAGAAGTACTGCCAGCCGGGCGTGAGGGCTGGAAAACCCACCCCAGCAATAGGAGTGGGTGCCAGGGCCAGGGAGGGGGCACAGGGAGTGAATGCTGATGGACACAGGGTGATAAGGGCATTCTGGAATTAGATAGTGGCGATGGTTGCATGACTCTGTGAATACATTAAAGGCCATTGAATTGTACACTTTAAATGGGTGAATTTTATGGTATGTGAATTATGTCTGAATCGATCCATTATTTTTTAAAACTACCACATGCAGTCGTGCCACTGAGGACAAAATCTTCTTATGAGGAGAAGGGGTTTCACATGGAAGAGCTGTGAGACTGGCCAGCAAAGAAAGTTGGAGAGCAGGGCAGCTGGAAGGAGCGGGCAACATCACACAGCCAGGAAGCTCTCAGAAGGGCCAAGTGAATACAAGGAGCTAAGAAGCTCGGGGCGTCAGCAGGACAGCCGCAGCAAGGGCGGCGGAGCAGACTCCTGATAGCCCAGGGATTCCTCCTGACAGCGAGGAAGCAGTGCAGGAGGGGACCAGCGCTGGGTATACCCTCAAAGTTCTTCAACAAGGCCAGCGAGGTCACCTCTGAAAAAAGGCTCTGCTGCAATGGTTGAAGATGGGGTATCCTGGCTATGAGGGTGCAGAGCAGCCAGAGTGGGAGCTGATGGAGACACCTTGGCCCAAGTCTGTCTCCTGGGCAGCCCCTGAGCCCCTCCTGTAATGAGCAGCTGACTCCCCAGCTCGGGTGGAGGCTCCTGCAGCAGAAGGCGCCTTGTGGAAGATCCTGTCCCGCAACCGCATGGGGACTCCACTCACAGCCACTGGTACCACTGTGACCCTCTCACTGGGGCAAAGCAGGAAAGCCACTGGCAAATGATTTGCAGTTCCATTGTCATACACAGAGAACTCTAGAAGTTTCCACCTGCACCAAAGAGCAACATTATGCTTTTACTACCCCCACACACACACTTCGGCTCTCTGGCTCTGTCCCTGGTCTGTCTCCAGGGACCTTGATCTCACTGTCCTTCACATGTCACACAGGTCCACTCTATCCATGACAATATGCTGACAGGATCTGGGGACCAGGAGCAAGTGTCTGAGGAAGGGAGGGAGGGTGGGTAGAGGTCAAGGTATTGGGAGAGAGGAAGGAGGCCTGCCTGTAGGCATGAGTTAGTCAATCCTCATGCATTTACCAGGCCCTGAATGTGTTACTTTATCTGTCCAAGGCTGCAAGGGGTGAGGGAAGAAAAGCAGCCACTCCTCGAGAGGGCCAGGT